CACACACACACTCACGTTGCCAGAGGGCACGCAAGTGCGTTGCCGGCCTTTAAGAATTGGTACGCTCTTTTCTTGAAGGACCCGAAATCGAATTGGTTTGGAAATACATCGATGGGAATCTGCATCGGCAGCATCGGGTTCCACATGGTGGCAGTGTTTGCAGTGTGCAGCAGTTTTTTCCGCGAACCACCACTATGTTGAAGTACATAGTAAAAGTGCGTATTCCTCCCTCAAAGGCAGTTGCGAACAACTAAGATGGATGTCTGTGTCTCTTTTATTTAAAAAAATTGCGTGCGCACAAAGTACACATGTCAGAAGTGAAACTTTTTTAAAATTAATTATTACTAAGGTAAACGCCCCAATAGATGATCATGTACCAGCATATATGATCACACCATGCTTTGTATATCTGTATTGTGAATATAGATATGTTTACACAGTGCATACGTGCTAATGATAATATAAATAAATAAAAATTTAATTGTCATTAAAATATTAAGTGTCGAAAATTAATACAAATATTTTTTTATTTTTTTTATTCGATAATAAAAACACGTGGTATTTTAATTTACAATTTGTCATTTGAGATTTGAATAAATTATTTTGCATAAAATATAAAATACTAATATGTATTTCATAAATTCTCTTTACGAAATTTTAATTTTAAAAATAGAATTTCTATAAGGTAATTCACCCTTCTCACTCACTCTGAATCGCTCTCTGCCTTTTCGTCGACAAAAACGCCTCTCATCTTCGTGACGTTCCGTAAAAATTTAACCCTCATGCGCCTAAAGAAGTTTCACTTCAAAAAGACAGGTGAGTCAAAATCCTTCCTCCACAGTTTCAAATGTCTAGGCTAATGGCGATAATCAACCAACAAGCCAACTATTACTGTAACAAAATCCAATAAATTTCTTACGTACAGCCCTGCGATTCTGTAACTCACTTTTCGAACTCACACAGCGGTTTTCGCTTCGGCGGTCGCTCTCAAATCAGTCGTGAAGCAGTCATTTTATGATTTGGCATTCTGATAAACAATAAACTACAAGCTCCCACCTTTTCAGAATGCCAAATCATAAAATTACTGCTTCACGACTGATTTGAGAGCGACCGCCGATGCGAAAACCGCTGTGTGAGTTCGAAAAGTGAGTTACAGAATCGCAGGGCAGGAGTCAGACTTTGCGCCTGTTCGAAAAGTGAGTTCAGAATCGAAAGGCTCTTCTCAATCTCATCGTAAGAGGTGATATAAACGAGTCACAATGTTACACAGTTTACGTCATACATCTAATAACCTAAATTACACACACGTGTGTAAACATGACGCTCTCACAAGGCTGTAAACGTGCCTGTCATTCTAGAGCAGTGCTTTTATCAAACAAATAGCGGTAGGAAACTGTAGATTACGTAAAATCTTTAATTGTTGACAAACAAATATATAATATTCATCGTGTGTCATCAATTAGGCGACGAAGGAAACTTGGACAGCTGCCCACTGAAGTATTTACTAATAAATTTGACTTAGGGTTCTTTAGTAAAAGAGTGTTCCAAATCTTCAAGGCAACGCACTCGCCCATGGACACTCAATGGTGGGATCACATCTCAGCCACAGTCACCACCTAGTTTTGAACTGTTTTGAAAGCACGTTATGAATAATTTTCATCCCATTTCTTTTAAAGACCTTCCAGAGAACTTCCACCACAACAATAAAGTATTTGCCCCATTAACGGTAAAATGGAAATTACAGTAAATCTACCGTAATTACAGTAAATATAAAAAAAACGTAAGTTGTATTCAAGGCTTTATTCAAACGAATATGTCTCATTTAGGTCGCTTACTGAATAAATTAACTTGAGTTAATCCGAGTTTAAATCTAAAAATATAAAGAAGAGAAATAAAGTTCTTTAAACTTAAATAACTTTGACAGTTAAAATTTGTCGAAATTTTGACTTGACATACGAATTTTCGATTTGGCAAAGATTTATGTTTGTCTATGCATATATTCCCTATTAGTTTCAATTTTAATAAGTTGTAGTAACAAATTTTTCTCCTATGCTTACATTGAAATCCATTTTTCCAACTGGGAGGCCATATTTGCTTAGAACACTACATGTACTAAGCACGTGAATCATGACGACATGTTTGCACAATAGTCCAACAAGTTTCGATCAAAATAAATGATACATATCAAGGAATGCGCGTGATTCAAACACCATAAGAATGACGGCGCCTGGTATAATTTTTTTTTTAAATTGCGGAGAAAAAAAAGGAAATGTTCTATTTATTCTAGTGTTTAAATATACTTTTTACAAATAAACTAAACTGGACTAAAAAAATCGTTTTAGAGGCTATATTTATTTCCAAAACATTAATAAAACGCTCGTTATTATTAAAAGCAATACATGGTCGCCTGATGCGCATAAGTAATACCTAGTGATTTCAATCAATATCGCAGCGTAATGAGACACTAGTAATGCCCCGCCCATGATTAATCACTCTTCTACATTTTAATATACATATAATAATAAAAAGGCTTTTATAAAAAAAAATTGTCGAACAAATACAATAAAAAAAAAAAATTTTTGGGCCGGGTGCTGGTATGGGATGCAACCTCATCAGACACGCTGGTCCCTTCCCATCTACATGGAACCAACAACAGAGCTGGTGCGGCTTGTGAAGCGGCTGATAAAGCTAAAGCATGCAAATACATAATACACCGAATATGATTTTGTCCCATTCGGTGTCAAGACCCTTGGTCCGTGGGATCCTAGCGCTATAAGGCTTTTTAAGGAAATAGCAAATAGCTTAGTCCACATCACAGGAGACCGAAGAGCTCGCAGCTCCCTCGGACAAAGAATTAGTCTAGCTATTCAAAGGGGGCATGCTGCCAGTATCTTCGGTACCTTGCCTAAAGGGACTCCTTTTAATCATAATATATTTTAAGGTTAGTTATTGTTTTTTGTTATTGAAGTTATATAAAATAACAGAATAATTACATGTTTCTTTAACTGTTACGAAAATATGCATATTACATCTATACCATTGCACTATATAAAAAAATGTCAACGTTTTTTCTACTTTGTATAGATCGGGAATTGCTTTCTAAAAATAGTATCGGCCGTTAAAACTACGACCCGTATAAATATAGAACCCCAGCGACACACTGTTATCACAATTATCACCTGTGTGTCAATATTATCGCTTTTACTGTGCAATTTGCCTTATCATGGTCACGTGTTGTTGCGAGTGAATATTAAATTCATTTTTGAGCACGTGAATTTATTATCGGAAGGTCATTGCGATGACACGTAAGCTTGCAAATATTGCTGACAGATAAGGTATCAATTATGGGGGGGTTGTATGTATGTACATTATACCTCCCCCTACATTAGTCCTCTAGTCCGAATTCTGGATCTATTTCATAGATTATTTTTCTATAAAGACAGGCGATCGGGCCTTCTGTGCCGTCCGATATTTTTAATTTAACTTCAGAAAGAAACCTGCGATAAATCTGACTCTCTTACGTCAGAAATGTATTGATTCTGACAGACGGTAGACATGTGACTTGATAGTCCCCACTATCTTACTCGATCCCAAAAGCGCAACGGTATGTTTTATCTGTGCGCAATTATCATTGTTTATGGTCGTCATAGAAAACGAATCAATAGAAATAATTGTAAATAGATGAAACAGTTTGGAAATAAAGATAAATATTATTATATTATTTTTTTATGCATTTTTTCTCCTCTTTTGAATTCAAATTATTTGTAATATTTATCATTATTTGTGTTGATGACGTCATTATTTGTTTTTTTTTTTTTTTTTGTTTGTCATATTTTAAAAATGGAAATTAATTTATTTACGGTAAGTTCCTCACTAGTTGAAAGATGAATAAATATGTGTATGGGGTATTTAAAAAACAAGTTGTTTTTGTTAATTTTTTTAAATTTAAGAAAAAGCTATAGACCCAAGTATAATTAAGTATGAAGGTATTGTAAATTTATTACTATAAGTTTGAGATAAAATGTTTTAATTCATTAAAAATTGGGAATTAAAAATGGGTAATTAACTAAAACCCAAATCGACTCTGCTTACATTATAAAATATAAGGTATTTTAAACCGAATCATTACCTGTGATAAAAATGGATTTTTAATAATCGGAATAAATTTGATCCTGGCCACCACCAAATCCTAAAAAATTAACCCAAAAAGTTACTTGTAGCGTTGGTGGATAGTGCCGGTATTGTTATTCAGTTTTTCAAATCTATATTACTATTTATTTATCAAACATATGAAAAGTAGTAAAAACCTATTAATCTATTTATCTAGACCACACACTAAACGGTACCAAATTAGAAGAGCTTCAATTGGAATGTCTAAGATCCTCCGTACTCCCACCTTATTATAATTTTTTCGAAATTTGGACAACTTCTTAAAGGGAAAAATTTAACTCTATGGGATCATCCCTTCATTTTATTGATTCTCATGTTTTTTATAAAGGATCAATAATACTATATCAAAAGTGAAGAAAAAATGGTTCATACTTTATTAATTAAATATATTATATTTAAAAATATTCGACTTTTTGTTCCTCCCATACAAAACGCCAATTTCATATGTAAGGACCTAATATTTGGTGTCCCGTTTAAAGGGTACATAAATAAAATGTTTCATGGTATGAAGACTATTCGTGTACAAATTGTATAGAAAATCGACTCGTGGGAGCCGTCAAAAACTGACACTATTGACGTGGATGTAGAACCGGGAAATTCGTTCTAAGATTTGTCTGTGTTAAAGTGTTGTTATCTGTACTTAAAGGAAACAAAAATGGCGGTTAACGCTCATCAAATTACACTGAATGTTATAATTTTTCGCATTGAAGGCGAATAATTATAATTAAAGGCATTTGGCATTATGAGTTTTCTTAATACATATTTTAATATATTCGCTATTATACAAGTCAGAATGCTTTTATGCGTAAGTCTTTATCAACTTTAGCGTGATGATAAAGTAAGTAAAAACTAATATATTGCGCAATAACACTCGGACACTAATAAGTTTATAATGCCGAGTAGGGTTGCATTCTTTATCTTATTTGTAGTACATTAAGTACCTATAATAAAAATCTATCCGCAATTGTAAATAATACACAAGATTAAAGGTACTATTGATTACGTCTATTAATAACTAAAAAATATGAAATAGTCAAATTTTAATGCAACCGTTATACGATCTAGTTCTGTTTGAACGTATATTTTTTCTACTGCTCACACACAGCTTCGGTGTACAGGATTATAGGCTGCGGTTGTATGCCGCCTTGTTGGATGTGTGAGGTCTCACACATCCAACAAGGCCTCCACAAACAAGAGATTTATAGATAGATTTTAATACAGTTTGTGGCAACCCTATTTTATCACGACAAATAAAATTTGAAGTCACGTGGAGGCCTCACGTGTGCTACAGTCTGTTTGTGGCGCACCAGCCTCATAAATATGAATGTATGAATATAAACATTAAACATGTCAAAACGCTAAAAATAAAACAAATCTATTTTTGCCTATCTACAGATGTACATGCGATATATTAGTTTATATTAGAAGTGTTAAATGGAAGAAAATAAAGCGATTTACAACGACACAACACAGTAAACCGCAATACAAGTTGAATTGTAAACCTACTTTGTTTTGCAGCCGGTTAAATTTTTGTACGTCTAGAATTATGATTAAACTAACTATAGTTTTGAAGTGAAACTTCTTTATCGAGGTTGGAAAAAAATTTAGTGTAACATTTTTTCGTTACGCGTCATATTTTTCGGTTACGCGCCATGTTGCTTTTTGAAGTCAAACTTCTGTATCGGCGTTGGAATGAAACTTCTTTATCGACGTATGGGAGAAATTTTGTAGCAAATCGTCACGTTTTTCAATGATAGTAATAATTCTATTACAATTAATGAAATTCTATAATAATCTTTGTAGTAATAAGGTAAAATGAAATATTTGTATTCATGTCTATGATAATAAAAGCCTTTTGTTAAACTTTATCTAATTTAACGAATTTCTGTAAAGTTGCATATAGTAGATCATTTTTCGAAAAATAAGATCATAAAGAAGTTTCACTTCTTACGTGTGTACACCTAGTACACGCACAATTTATTTTTTCTTTGGAAAGTCTCCATATAAAGCTTATTAATAATAGCTATATTTGTAAATAAGTAGTATTTGCAATATTCTTAACTTACATAGTAATAATAATAAATAAAAACTAAATAAGGAATTAAAACAAATTCTAAAAGTTTGGTCCCTGTGGCAGTGTTAACGCTGGCAGCATATCCTTGTATTACGATACTTATTCGTTGAGCGAGAAAAGTACCTGCTCGGTGGGTCACCCGTACTATCAGTTGCCAACTTAAATCTTTAATTAGCGCCTGTAGACTTGAACCCCACGGCCCAAGAGTCACTACAGAACGGAAAGACTCTAAAACTCTATTTGTAAATTATATCTAAAAGTCTATCTAATTATATCTTAGAGTCTATCTAATTATATCTAAATATCTGATGAATGTGAAACCCGTCAACTCATAAAAATTTCACGTTGACCGGCTATACATATTTCATTTTCTGATAATTTCCACAACGTGACGCCACGTGACTGCTTTGAACTTTGAAAGTCTTGTACTTTATTCATTCAGAGACGTATTGCAAGCACAATATTAAAAAAAAAAAGTGTGTGTACTTATGTACACGCGTTAGAAGTTATACTTCTTTGGCGTAACAAGATAAAAATCTTTTCAAAAATATTATTCTACGATCGTAGAAAAAACGACAGTAACAATAGAAAAAACTAAAATGTTGACTATAGCTAACTTCAGGGTGTCGGTTTTTTGTGACGGTGTGCGCGCCAAAAGAAACTTCAATAAAGAAGCGGCGCTACATTCCCTTTAGGTCTGGGATTTCTGTATCTATTTTATGATCATTTGTCAATCTAATAAGCAAGTAGGTGATCAGCCTCCTGTGCCTCCTGACGCTGAAGCCACCAGGCCAATACTGCCCTGTACCTAACACTATACATTTCAATGTTGATGTTTTCGTGCTTCCCTACTGCTTCCATTTTTTATTTTTCTTTCTTTTAAATATTATATCTTCGAAAGCAAATTCATTATATAATCAATTCAATTTCTATCATTGGATTGTTTAGTCATAATATTAATTGTAATTTTTATTTTTCAAATTAAAAAAATTTAATCATCGTCTGTGGGAGACGTAATTATCTTAATTTCTGTATCATGTCTAGGTACCTATTATTAGTATAGTTCATATTAGTTGTGGTACTCTTAAAACATATTTAGCTATGATATGACACTTAATTAGAACTTTTCTATTTTATCTTGTATTTGTGATAATGCTTTAATGCTTTAATTGATAATAAATGCTTTCTTTTGACACACATCGTTTATGTTAGAGACATTAGGTATATTCCTATATAGCAAGTGTTAATTGCGTTAATGGAAAAAATAATTAATTAAAACATTATTAATGTATTGTTCTGGGTTCAATTTTGAAATATGAACTGTTTATTTAACCAAATTAAATATGGTCTAAGATCGCGATATACAACGACCTTCACCGAGATGCTTATTTAATGAAACGTATTTTATATTTAATTTAATATGTCAATAAATATAATCCATATGGGTTGCCTAGCAAATTTCAGTCCAGAGTATTTTAATTAATATTAAAAAAAATTTTTTTAACATTTCACCGGTATGATTATTAGAAAAATTTTATCCCCAATCAATATTAAGCCCATAGAATAGCAAAGTTAGGTTGTTTTTAATCAATTAATTATTTTGTTATATTTTTTTGACACTAAAGATTATACATCTTCAGTAAAAAAGAAAGTTATAGTGATACATATATAATACTACCCTGATTAAAAATATTGATTGAAAATTTGTTTACTCTTGTAAACTTTCTCTTGTATTAGTTAAAAATAAAGGCATTGAAATTAAAATAGAAAAATTAATCTTTCCAGTTACAATTCGAACGACGGCTTCGGTCGGCCAAATGGTGATCAGCTGAACTTCTCAGCGCGTTCAGAGGATGAAGGAGACTACATTGCTGGTTCGGCAGCCTACCTCAAGAAGGGAAAGGTCTCAAGGGCAAGTTACAGCAGATGTGCCCAATTTATTATTATATACATATTATTGTAATTGCTTTAATATTTGACTGATTTCATATATTTGGAAGCCCCTATAAACTGGTTTTTAGTAAATGCATTAATTACGCGTTATTCGTAAAACTCAAACTCAAACTCAAAATATCTTTATTCAAGTGGGTAACCAAGTACACTTTTGAATCGTCAAGTTAAATTAATCATAAATTTACATTTACTACCAGTTCGCAAGTCAAGGGCGTAGAGCGGGTAAGAAGAACTGGCAAGAAACTTTCCGCCACTCTTTTTAATCGCCAAGTATTGTCATACAAATTGTTTGAACTGGAGCAATTCAATCCCAAGGATTAGGATCATTTAAGTAGTCCTCAAATTTATAAAAGGCTTTGTTGATTAATTTTCGTTTAACAAGGGCTTTGAATTTATTTAGTGATAATTCTCTAATTTCGCTTGGGAGTTTGTTGTAAAAACGAATACAATTTCCATATAAGGAGTGGTTTATCTTTTGGAGCCTGGTTGGTCGTACACTCAAATTAGTTCTATTTCGCGTATTATACTGGTGAAAGTCACCATTTGTTTTAAAATCGTTTATATTTTTTTGGACATACAACAAGGCTTCAAGAATATATTGACCAGATAGTGTCATAATATTTAATTCCTTAAACTTATTCCGTACCGACTCCCTCGGAGAAACACAACAAATACCCCGAACAGCCCGCTTCTGCAGCACAAATATGGATTGAACCTCTGCAGCAGCACCCCACAGTAAAATACCGTACGACATAACGCTGTGGAAGTAGCTATGATACACTATTTTAGCCGTGTCCTTATCAGTAAACTGTCGGATTTTCTTTACTGCATATGCTGCAGAGCTCAGCCTATTCGAAAGAGTCTCTATGTGTGGGCCCCATTGGAGTTTACTATCTATTGTTATGCCTAGAAAAACAGTTTTGTCAACAAAGTTAAGTTCACTGTCCTTAATTTTCAGGTTACCAATATCTCGCTTTACGCTAGTAGTTGTAAATCTAATACATTTTGTTTTATTCTTATTAAGCAGTAAGTTATTTACATTAAACCAGTTAACTATACGAGAGATAGAATTGTTTACATCGTCCAATAATACGTTATTCCTATTCACTTTAAATAGAAGTGAAGTGTCATCAGCAAACAATACCATCTCATGAACTTCGTTGACAAAGAATGGGAGATCATTTATGTAAATCAGAAATAAGAAAGGCCCGAGAATCGATCCTTGGGGGACGCCCATTGATACCTGCGAACCCGGAGAGGTGACTCCATTGACATGAACTCTTTGGATCCTTCCCTTTAAATATGAATTCATCAGGCTGGAAGCTTTGCCATCAACGCCATAGTGTTGAAGCTTTCCAACGAGTATATCAGGATGAACACAGTCAAAGGCCTTTGACAGGTCACAAAAGACGCCGACTCCATCATATGATTCTTCCCAGGCGTTAAATATGTCCGAAATCAACTTCACACCGGCATCGATTGTGGAGCGACCCTTAGTGAAACCATACTGTTTATTATGTAAGAGTTTATTTTTATTAAAATGTAAAGAAAGCTGGTCTAGCATTATCTTTTCAAAAACTTTGCTCAACGCAGGGAGCACGGAAACAGGTCTGAAGTTTGACGGATCAGACTCACTACCTGCCTTGAACAACGGTGTAATCTTACTTAATTTCATTTCGTCCGGAAAGACTCCACAATCGATACATCTGTTAAAAATTATAGACAATTCAGAGCTTATTACATTAATAACGGAATTTAAAATGACTGTTGACATACCCCATATATCTTTACTTTTTTTTAAATTAATAAGCTTAAAAGTTTTAACGATATCATTACAAGTTATATGCTTAAACTGAAATTTAATATTACATTCAGGTACACATTTTTCTAGCAATGAGATCGCAGCAGCAGGTGAAGAATGTAGGGACTTGGTCGTATTTAGTGGTACATTTGTAAAAAACTCTTCAAAAGAAGAAGCTACCTCTGGGTCAGATTTTATTAATTTCCCTTTAACTTTTAACATATAATCGGTTCGTTTGTCAGACGTTTTACCTGATTCTTCATTTATTATTTTCCAGGTAGCTTTTACTTTATCCGTGCTATTTTTTATTTTTGAACTTAAATATTGTGACTTTGCAATTTTGCAATCTTTTTTGAAATTATTTGAATACAACCTAACATATTCCCTAAATTCCACACTAGTGTTATATTGCTTTTCGTCATACATTTCATATAATTTTAACCTTTTCCTGTGTAACTCCTCATTTGCCCAGTCACAGAAACTTGTTTTCTCAGAGACCAATAAAGTCTTTTGAGTAAATACTTTCTTGAATTCATCAATAAATGATCCAAAAAAAGTATTGTATAAATTATTAGGGGATGAGTTGCCACACAGAAATGGCATCCTATAGACCAATGCTTCTCTAAATCTGTCCAAACGGTCATTTGTAATAGGAGTTATCACAATTTTCTTCTTTTTACATGTTTTTTGTTTCCTTAATTGGAATTCAAACCATTGACCAGTGTGATCAGATTTAAATCTATTGAAAATACAAACATTTAAAGGGGCTATGTCAGTATATATATTATCTATACAAGTTGCGGTGCTAGCTGTTATTCTTGTGGGTGAATGAAATAGATTTATAAAGTTAGCGTATTGATTTCATAATCCGACAGCTATCAAACAATTACATAGAGAATATAGCCAAATATAGAATACATAATATTTATCCTCAAAAAAGTTCAAACATTTACAAATGAAAAAAAAACAATAAAAATTATTTAATACATTTAACTAAGTGATACCTAATTCAGCTGTGTTGTGTGATGGTGTAAAAGTGAGGTTATGTACGTGATGGTGTGTATGTGGATATGCTCATGATGCAGGTGATTTTGCGGAGTACAAATGCTTTATTCTCACAAAAATAATGTGTAACGTTTCGATCCTACGACCTCATGGGAGTCGCACATAGAAAAACTAGGCCAACAGCGCTTAAAAATAGTGTCGGATTTCTTGCTAGTTCTTCTCGCCCTTAGGCCTTTGATTTGGGAACTGGTAGTGAATTTTCGAAAATAATAATTAATTTAGTTCTTCCTTTGTTTTTTTTACGCATAATTTAAAATCCTTACATCTCCGGGTTTTTGACTATGTTATCGTTTACCGCATGAACGAATACTAAAAGCGCACGTAGAAATCCAAACGCTGACTCCAGACGAGGGTCTCAGGGTTGACAGCCACCACCAAAAGAATTGGTTTCGCAAATTTCTAATAGTTTTACAGGTTCTATATCATAATTTTTTTTCCAATAGCAAGATCCAATGTCCCACCGCATCATCGAGAAGAGAAGACGCGATCGAATGAACAACTGTCTCGCAGACCTCTCTCGACTGATTCCACCTGAGTATCTGAAGAAAGGGCGTGGTAGAGTTGAGAAGACTGAGATTATTGAGATGGCCATCCGACACCTCAAGTTCCTACAGGAGCGAGTTAATGGTTTGTTTATCATAATGTATTGTTAATTTACATAAATTTGAAAGATTTAAATTGTACGATATTTTAAATAACATTAGTTGTTGATATTTCGATATTAATGAAGTATTTCAAGAGGTTCGATTCCCCGTTAACTAAAAAACATTCATACGCAGTAAATCCCCTTATAACACGGCACTCTTATAACGCATTTTCATATTACGCGATTTCAGTCCCTTGTATCACGCGGGGATTACACACGTTATATTTCTGTACCGTTACATTTATATAATGATTTCTACTTATTTCGTTCATAATTTAATTAGTTTTGTGAGAAATAAATAAAGATTATTATTATTATACAGTTTTTCTTAGTATTTGATTTAAATCCCCTTTAACGACAAAAGTGAAACGTGAATCATTTGTACATACGCCTTATATGGGGTTATCCAAGCGCGTTATGCGTGAATACTCCTACAACGCGTTTCCTATAACGCGGAACAAATCTACCGTTTTATAGGAGGGATTACTGTATTAAGTAGGATTTGGGACTGTCGCAAACTTAGTATTCTTCAGGTGCTTTAAATTTAATAATTTTCTATTCTAGATTTTGTTTTACGCTATACATAATCAGATTGGAGGTTACTACAATTTAATTAACAGCACTCGTGTTTAGCAATTCGTATCGTAAATACATTCACTATATACACCTTGAAAATTCCCCTAAAAACACCAATTAATTTCATCGTTTTAACTGAACTATTATCACTCTTGTCTCAGCATAAACGCAATTTGGGTACTACTACTTTAGTTATAAGAGATTGGTATAAAATTAAACAAAAGAATCGCGAAGACAATAGAGCTACCGATGCCGGTGGCGGCTTCTTTCGTTATGCCAACTTGGGGTTTTCTCCCCAAATTTAGGGAAAATCATTATGCCTGGATTTTCTGGTTTTATATAATTCACAATTCTATGCAATTTATATCGAACCCAAACAAATATAAACTCCAAGCATATAATACTTGCCAGTTAGATTGATAAATGCTCATGAGACATTCAGAAATCTGAGGCCCAAACCTAAAAAGGTTGTAGCGCTACTGATTTTATTTTTATATATACATACAATATACACACATATTTACATACATTAAAGCGAGTGTATATACGATAAAAGCTTATAACACTGAAGGACACTAATGTTTTCGAGAGTCTACCGGCGGAAGATTGCATCTTCGCGGTGGCTTGTTTTGTAGCGGCTGAACGGCAAGTGGTGGAGGATCATTTCAAAGCGGGATACCAGGAGGCAGTAGGGGAGGCTGTCAGGTTCCTAGTGGAAGTACAGGGCTTCGGTCCCGCGGACGGCCTCTGCGTGCAACTGGCGTCGCATATGCAGAGACATTGCGAGGGTGTCACCAAAGGTTAGTCTTGTCTCTATATGTTCTCGTACCGTATGTGAATAGAGCTATCTACAAGGTGTTTCATAGATAATCACATTAAAATGATAACGTACAAGAGCTCAACGATATTAAATGATTTTCAAAAATTCAATTATATGTTAAGCCGTTTGGTCATTGTGGCATGGCATAACACTGCCGCCTTTTATTTTTTTATGGACTATCGGAAAATACCAGAATTTTTGTGGAACAAATCGTTTGACTTTCGTAATTAATCCGACGGGTTCGACTAACACCCACGCGATTGGGCCGCCGGTACCAGCGCTATGACCATCATTTTTCTTTTTTTAATTGCGTAATAAGACCCCTGAAGAACCACCATACTGGTACAAATGACCCACTATTTTGTGTCACTATCTCCCGGCCTTTGCAGCTTTTATTTCTGCAGTTCTTTGACAATACATAAGGTTTTGTGAGCTTTATTAATAAATCCATTCAAAAATTAGTTCGTTACAATTTCTTAATATGAGCATTAGTCGTGTTAGTATATAAGTTGTAAAAAATTAAGTTAGTATTTTTTATAGCTGTCAGTATTATTTGGCTCCTTTGAGGGTAAGAGCGCTGCCACACGATGCGGGAACGATGCGGTGTGGTGCAGTGCGGTGCGGTGCCGCAACGTCACCCTAAATACAAATTACCTTACCATGTCACACGACACGTTGCGCCGCCGCGCAGCGTCGCACCGCAAGCGCACCGGAGTTGTGACCTGCGAGATGTGGCCGGGAGGGGTAAATTATGTTGCCACACCGCAACGCCCGTGTGGCACCCTATAGCCCTATAGCTCGAAGTAACCGTACCGTACAGCATCGTGTGGCCGCGCTCTAAAAGCCTCCTCCATATTTATTTTTCTAACATTTTTCTCAATGCATTGTTCTATTTTTTCTTTAATATCAATAAAAACATTAATTCGATGAATTAATTGCAAATTACACGATTTCAGGTGAGGTGTTACTACGTGAGAAAATCCCGCGATCCCAGGGTGGGTCATCTTCAGAGACCGCGAGCTCTTCAAGCAGTTCCCATGGATACGCCGTGAAAGGGGTCATCCAGCATCCGGAACCACCACCAACATTCCCCCGAGAACCTTTTGAACCGGAAAGACAGATAGAGGCATATCCTATCGAGTGTGAAAGAGGTATTTTATTATTTTTTTATAATAATTTCCCTCCAGGGATTTTGTTTTATTTTTTATTAGTCCTTAAACAAAATCCTTAAAAGATACAAGAAAATATGAGTGTCGTCATATTTTCTTGTTACATACATGTTACATATGCATTTACACACATACCTATCTTTTACGTATTAAAACATAAAATTTTCAAAATAGCAAGCTAAACATTATCACAAGCACACAGATAAAATCTAAAATTAACGTATATAGAAACTTAATCCAAATACCTTTTACCTAATATCCTTAATACTCATTGGAGATTGTTGTTAAATATATCAATATTTTCAATCATGTTAGTAATTAGAATTTAGAACGAGTGTACTCATCCCTCAAAGGCCGGCAACGCACCCACCAAAAATGGTGTATGGGCTGCGATGACGGCCCTTTTTGGGCTTCCCATAGGCTCGTTTGCGTTTGCTTTACTATAAAAAAAATTAAGTTGTAAGATCGAGAAAGCAATAAAAAGTAAGACTTTTACTTAGTAACAATATTTTATCATTCCAGTATTAGTGGGCCCTATCACGTTAGTGGACGACTCCATTGCTGACCAACCACTACCCCTGGATGGACGATGCAAGCGTTCACCAACACTTCGCAAAGTGCGAAAACCGGAACACGGGGAGGACTATTTACATTCCTACAAATTCAAGAACTCAATAGAGAGGCGATTTTCCCGGTCACAAGACAATGAAGTACGTATTTTTAAGCAAATATTTAATAAATATAGCTATTCAAGAAGAATGCCCACAATACAATTAGGTCAAAAAATAAAATAAAAGTATGACGGTAGTTCCAATGGATTTGAGGGTAGTTTTGAAATTTTGAGCATTCTTCTTGGCGGTGCATGATTGTTGCTTCTGTCATTTTAGACTCGCGGTTGTAGTTTGAAATATTTTCTAGCATATTTTTAAGGCTGGTCACATTATTAGATGTAAATAATCCCTGTTCTATGATCTCCGGTTCAAAACTAAAAGTTTGATTTTCCCACTCGACATAGGAACCAGAAAATCTTTTATTTGACGCTGACCAAAGCTCCGACAGAGCGGCAGAACGCATCGGACTTTTTCAATAGAAAACCCGAGGAATATCGGGTGTTGAGGTAAAGCTAGCTGGTGTAGGTCTAATGCATGAATGCGTTCCCCTTAGCACGGAGCATCAAGTCAATACCCCTGGGTGTATTTGTTTTTTTTATTTTCAGCCAGATAAAATAATTCCAAATGCACAGACTACTATTATTAAAAATAATGCTTCTCTGTCACGTTGTTTACGTACCATACCATAGACGAAGATGCTTTGCGACGAGCGTGACCTAATTACGAAAGTGGTCACGTGGCCAAGAGTGAGATGTCATTCGTGTACATATACGTCTTAGAGTATTAAGCCAGAAAGGAGACCCATCACTCGAACGATGCTAATTATTTTTTCTGCCAAAACATCGCGGGGACGAGCACTCACACAGACAAAATTTACTACAGAAAAATTGCACAATGTTTGTACACACCACACAAACCTAATTTGCTTACACAAGAGTAACCCAACGCACACATAAAGAAATCGTATCTTTACACGTTACATGTCAGCACACATACCAACAACCCGACAAATTAGAGCTACCACCATGTCGATAAGGAATGTCGATAAAATTTATTTATTCAATCATTCAGTTGTTCATTCTATTCTGCAATAGCAGAAATATTCTAAAAAAATTTTTTCACACATGCGGTGGCAAATTGTGGACTAATGCGCCACAAGCGACTGTACCCAAACTCTATGAATTGGTCAGTTTCAGTGTGTATAAGGATAAGTAGTGTCAAGTTCTTGCGTGACTCAAGCTAATAACGGACTTTGGTTTGGGTACCGTCCCTCATGGCTTCATTAACTTTCACTAAGGTGAAGTAGTGCATCAAGAAGGACACTAGCCTCCATTTTTTATTTATTTTATTTAAACAAACAACTGAATGTACATTGGACTTTTCTTTCTTCTTCTTTTCTTTCTGTTTTTCTGTTTTTGCGACAGTTGCACCTTAGGAGAGTATGTTAGCGATGATTTCTAAAGTGTTTTAGCATTTCTAAAATATTTTAGAGAAAATTTGCAATACATTACTATACGGCTAATATTTAGAAGAAGTTATGCGCTGGTCTCCTCCATGACGCTCCATCCTAAATGTAATAAAATAGGCAATTAAAACAACTACTTAAGAAAAAATATTTATTACAAAGAGGTTAAAAAAGTACAACAGGGGTTTCTAAACACATTGTCAATCAAAGTATTTATTTATATGAAAACATCATGTAACTGTAAATCATGACATTAAAAAAATTTTTTATTGCTCTACTTTAAATAGCGTAATTGAAATCCCATGATGATTTTGAATTTAAAAATTTGAAACGACATAAGAAAACACAATTTTATTTTATACTAGGTACTAGTTTCATGTATGAAATAATAAAACACTATTATTACTTACAAAATAGCGGATTTTGATAAGTTTTATTTAAATCTGCAAATCCAGCAAAACTTTTTATTGATTTTTGAAGTGAATGAGTTTTGTGAATATATGACGGATACATTTTTTGGATCCTTTTTCTTAGAAAGGTAAGTGATTCTCGTGTTTACATATTTTTCCATAACAACCTTTGCCAGTTCTATGTTATGCGTCACATAATCGTTGTCAAAATAATGTTCCTCAATAGAATGAAAGAGTGTTTTTCCCTACTAGTTTTTTTAAAGTTTGAATAACAATCGTTTAGTGTTGTATTTAGGATCAACTTTTTTATCCGACGTAAGTGTGGCTCTAATCTCAATTCACAAAAGCGACATAAGGATATTACCTCTTCTGAGGAATACATTAAGCACCTCTACTTGATAAATCAAGCTTTCTTTACACTCAGCCTAAAAGAGCCTTGACGCAGATACTGCATTTGATTTTTTTAATGATAGAAAAACCACGTAGCCCGCTATGTATTTCACTACTTCCTCGCCGAAAGGAGATAAGTATGTGTAGCTATCTTATCTGTAAGTATCTGTTCCTCTGTGATGGAAAATTGTTTATCTGCCTCTAAATTAATACAGAATGACAAAGATGTGTCGTTGATTTTTTTATCCCTGAAGAACAATCTAAAATTGATATTTTTTCTAAAGGAATACAATTTGTACCTCGTTCATTTCGGTTTAGCTCTGTGTGTACCAATAGTTTCTTATATAATATTGCTTCGAGTTGTCCGCTGTGGGATATCATTATACCCGCCATGGCTACGACTTGGAAAAAAATTTCTATATGATCTTGGCTGATCTTATGTAAGGGCAGATACGTAAGTATTGTGCCTTGGTCTAACACTAAACTTTTGAACAACTTTTTGCACTTTCAATGCACACGCAAAAACCTAAAAAACCTGTGTGTCTTGGAGATTTTAATATATTTACTTTTTTTAATGTGTTTCCCCTAGGAATAACCACAGATAAGTTAGTTATGACAGCTTTTGCTTCATCTAATCGGTCAAATGCCTTTTGATAGTTTTTTGAGTTTAATGCCTGTTTGTACGCATTGGACCAAGTTTTTGAATCGAGGACATCAAATATATCGTTCATTAAAATTAAAAATTCAGCGGTTGGAGTTACTTCTTTGAAAGAAGGCATCTTCAAATGTCAGCACAAAAAAAATGTCACTACGCTCTGACTGAAAAGTTGGGGCATGAGACTTATTATTTTTGACTTAAAATAAATATGGTTCGCTTTTAATTTGTTGGCTAAATAAAACATTTCTTCCTCTTGTAGTTGGTGCAACTTTGTGATATATGACCATTCTATTTTTTTCATGGCCAATCGATAAGTTAAAAAATATTCGTAAAACTCAAACGCATTTCTAACCAGTTTCAACATATGACACGGATCTAGAAAAAGAAAATCTCTTGTCCAGTATAAGGATCTAATTTTTAGTCTGTAAATTTAGTGGATCAAGACAGCAGCCCAATTCTTCAGCCATGGCAAGGTTACATTTGTGCCGTCACATGTCCACGCCTTAATTTCAACACCAGTTTCATGAACGAGCTGGAACGCTATTGTGACAAGTCGAGCTTTTAAGTTACAGTCATACCTTTTATTAAAAAGTACCCAATAGGTACTTTCCATGTGGTATTGATGCCCACCAATAGAAACACTAGAGCATCAGTGGCTTTATCGGAATTGTCCGATATAAAATCAAATCCGTAGTCTACGTATCCGTAATGCCTTTGGGTACTTGTATTCGGTAAATTCTTTATTTTCATTTCATCCATTATCAAAGAGCAATAGATTTTTTTGCCAGTATTACTGTCAACTCTCAATCTCAGTGCATTTAGTGCCTCTTTTGTGAAGCCTGGACGACCGTTAATAGTACTGTACCATTTTGACAATGTACCGGCGCTGGTAAACAGGTTCCGAATGTTTTTCTTACATAACGGTAGGCTTTAGGTGAATAATAATTTAATGTAAGTGCAAAACATCTTAATTCAGGAGAATACTTAACTCTGGGTAATTTTCCAGTTTTGCTTATAATTGCCTTTTATTAGTTCGGTCTCTTCCACCCTAGGCTTCCAAAATTCTTCTATTTTCTTTATCTATTAAAGATTTTTTGGTTAACTCATCAAGTATTTCTTTTAAACTAGCAACTTTATTTTTAAATATCGTGTTTTCGACTGAAGTCTTTTAATTTGTTTGTTTTTTTGAACTATTATTCTTCTTAATTTACGTATTCTTGGTGTTTCTTGGTCATTTTAACAAGAAACATTAGTACTGTAGTAGGTGAAACATGATTTGTTGATAACTCAGAGCGAAAAGTTGATGAGTGGGGTGGTGAACTAGCCGAGGTTTCAGTCTCAAATCTCTTTTTTTTGCTGGTTGGCAATCGGTTGGTTTTTCGAAGTCAGCCTACAAAATAACATATAAAATAACATTACTACAGTCCGTGAGGCGTAAGTTGAGCTTTGTATCTATGTGACTGCACACGGATAGTGTAGAATTGCAGTCGACTTGAACGCGCGTCCTGTGCTAGTTTGAACCCCTGTTTCTGTGTTTGAACCGGTTTTTACTGGTGTTTGATACTCAGTCTGAAAGGCGATGCGTCCCACTCCAATAACATGTCTCTATCAATCTTAAACACGGTTACAAAATTAGTTGCGCTTCAATAACAAATCGCGCCATACTTTGTTAACGCGACAACAAGTTTGTAATACTAAATCAGTGTTTCAATCTTGTACTGTCATACTTATATGACGAACGCGTTATTGAGCTGCAAATTAATTTTGTTATTGTGTTTAAGTTTGAAGGAGATAAGGTATAATGCTTTTGGCGATCACTTACACAAATGTAAAGCGGACTATAGTATAATAAATGTGAAAGTATGATTTTTTATTTGTGTTTGTTTCTCTTTCACGCTTAACGGCTTGACCGATTTCGATGAAATTTGGGGGTGTAGGGAACAAGCACTACTAACACAGACTATGATTTATCCCGGAAATGTGTAAGGGATAGTCAACAAATTGTTACAATCCAAAATCCGCCCAGACGAATTCGCAAATAGAAGGTTGGTTTAAAATAACAATCATAAAGATCTATTTGCTTCGTATGTTGACAGAATAAATTTCTGAAAACCGTTATATTTTAAGGTATACATTGAAGTAAAGAATAGGTATACATTGGTGTTGGAAAAAGCAATTAATCGTTTTTTAGTTACTCCAGTGGATGTTCAAAACTTATGGAATACATAATACGTTATTACAGATCCCTACATGTTTGCATCGAAACTAATATAACTTACATTTGGTAATTTCAAAGTAGGTGTTGCTGATTCCTTTAATTTTCTTTTGTTGTTAGCCAGCAACAAGAAACATACTATCAAAATGATCGGAGCAAACTTTACTTGTACGTTTGGGTAGCCATGTTCTGTGATTTTCACAAGCTTTTATCCATTGTTGTCGACGGATAGGGTCTTTTGGAAATCTATACTAAAACTGTTTTATTTCAAACTAAAAAAATGTATCCATTATTACATATTTGTTCATTCGTTCAATAATTTATCGATAAAAAAATAGTATGTGTCCCCTCTCTACGTAAATGACGTAAACTGGCGTTGGTGTGGCTAACTACCAACTTAGGAAAATAACCATATTAGGATAAATTCATGTGATAAATTTTTATAATTTTTCACGTCCTTTCTTCTTAATTAAAGACATTAGTATAATAAGAAAATTTGAAGTGTCGGGTAAACCTTCAAAGTACTTGTGAGCGAATCCACGAACAGGACAACAATCAATAGTAAAGCATATTTACTAAGTCATTGAACATGTCCTATTAAGTACCTCTGTTAGTAAAAAAATTATGCAAATAAAAAAATTAAGCCACAAAAAACGTCGTAGTCGGAACTTTGCAATAAACTGGCACTTGACTCGGCATTACTCGGCAATGAATATTTATTTGATTTTCACGTATTCTTATAATATACGATAATATTACTTAAGAAAATACTTACAGATGAAATGTCACGTTGTCTTTTTGTACACTCGATGTGTCAGACCTTTTTTACAGCCGAAACACTCTCAGTCATTTTTGTCGGAGCTCTTTACACTAACAAGCGTCATACCGGAATGGCGCGGAAGGGTCGAGAAACAGTTTTATATAACGCGTATGTCCAGCGGGTTCGTACTTTGACAGAGGGGACCGCGTAAAGGCGACTCCTTTCGGCTTAATACTCTAAGATATACGTACATAAAGATCGGCCGCAAATTTTACCTCAGTCCGTTAAAACAGAATTGCTTTTGTTTTTATAAGGGCATTAATAACTCGGGTTTAATATTTATGTCAGTTATAATTACTTAGGGATAGAAAAATCAGAGCGGTACTTTGGTACGCGATAGGTACAAGCTGCTGATATATTTCAATCCTGATAATAAAATTGTCAAATGTAGGGTTTCGGTATATATCTAGTGAGAAATACAGGCTCGGTTTATCATTACTATATAAGTGGAATAAATACCTAATATTATAATTATGTTATATGTAGCTATAAACAAAAAACAATGTAGTTACATCCAAAAACTGTATTTATTTTAAATTTCACTTAAATAGTTTTGCCGCCCGTTCGCCTTAACACATTTCATTTTCAAATAATCATTATAATTTTTCTTATTTAGCTTAATTTATATATTTTTAATTTTACATCCCATATTTATCTTTTTTTTTAATAACCGTCCGGCAAAGATAAAACAAACTACTCCCCACGAATCGCAAATATTTCTTTAGTAAGGTAACTAAAAATAACTTATACAGGCGGCTCAGCAAGTAGCAAGACCTGCGCACGCGCATAACAAAGTGTACAATCACAAGAGGCGACGCGTGACCAAACCAGCGCCCTCTACTTCGACCTCGGCTTCGGGCTCCACTGAAGACACCAGAGATACATCGCCACAGGTGAGTTGAGCATCACAGCTATGGGGCATGTCCAATTCCTTTCTTGCCTTTCATAAAGCCAAATTGTAGTATTTCTCCTGTGCTCAGTTTTGCTCACTCTTTTGTGTCCGTTTAATTGAAAGCAAATTTCTTCACAGAATAGAGTAATAACTTTTGAAGGGCCTATAGTCATACCTGAATCGAATGCCGCTTTGAATCATATTCTTTTACACATATGAATCTACAAAGAAAGAGAATGATATCATTTCTAATTTCAACCAATCACTTTACACGTTCTGATGCACTACGTGTTTTTGATTCTCACTATAGTGTAAGTGATTGCTTCTATTTTGCCCGCTAACGTTACTTTATTATTGTAAAATTAGGGTTCAATATGTATATGTATGTATATGGGTACACCAAAACTTGGCGATTAAAATTGCGGAGAATTTTTCCAGTTCTTTTCGCATTCTTGATTTGGGAACTGATAGTAAATGTACATTTAGATCCTCCTATTGGTCAATATTGACGTTCATAACTGTATATATTTAAAAATAGGATTTAAAACATTTTGGTTAGATGATTATTATATTATAATGACACACTATTACAATTAGATTGTCTAAATCGTTTAAAATAAAACAAATTCATGAAAATATATATTTAATATTATATTATCTACGATAAGGCGTTCTAAATTTAACTGAAGACATTGTCTATGTCAGTATTTGACATCTCTCATAGACAATCTGAGTTCTGACAATCGATATGACACAGCGCATTACTGTGCGAAAATCCCGCAAAATATCTATGAATATGTTTTATATTATTTGGCAACAATTAGGTACAATACGAAAATTTAATATGAAATTCAGAATCGCTTTTAATGTTACGGTTTTGAAGAGAATTGTCTCTGGTATAAAGTGCATTGTCGTATATATTTATGGTTTATTTTTCAATTACAGGATACTTCCAGTGAGTCACCGCATAATCATCAATACGAGAAACCACTTCCTCCTACGCAGTTTGTGCCCGTCTTCGCACTAAATGCTCTTGGTAATTGCCCTATAAATCAATCTAAACTCTGACAGTCTGCTAGAACGTGTTAAAATTTTGGTATGCTTTGGGATTGATGGGTTTACTAAAAGGCAATTACATATATAAATATATTCAAACATAATCACAATAAAATTTTAAAGAAAATAATGAATTTTAACTCGATTCAATATTTTTATAAGGTATTTTTTTTAATACGTGACTCGTGAAAAATAAAATTTTGGAATAACCAATGGCGTCTGACGCACAAGACCATTTCTTAAACGTTATTTAACTATTTGTGGTTATAAAATATTTATTCCTGCTACAAATTTTTACACACAAACATTTATATATAATTAATTGTTCGCACCGGCCATTAAGAGTTATACAACACAAACAAAGATACAATAATACAAAGAAACAACAACATTACAACGATGAATAATAAACTTTAACAAACAACACTCAAATCTATAATTTATTGTCAGCCATAAAGCACGCCAAACGTCTCTTATAGGCGCCAACTGTGTTGATACTTGTAGGCAGACAGGCTATAAAATTATTTAATTATACTTTTATTTCCAGGTAAATACTACGTCCCACTTAGCGTGGATTACGCGTGCTTAGCGCGATATCTGGGTCCATACGACATTTTAGACGCGCGTGCCGTACAACTCTCGGCGCAACTTCATCCTGTCACTATACACGTAAATTTTCAGCCTTGTATAAACTATCACGTCAAACGCGAGCCCAACGAGCGTGATTGGAGGCCTGCGTAGATGGCAACACTGAATCTATGGTTAAATAGACTAAGATATTTCAAAATAAGATAACGTATATTTAAATAAAAGTTCTTTAACGGATATAGATATAGACCGATAACTGTTTGACATTATAATTAGTCTATTGAAGTGTTGCTATATTAACGCTATATATTGTCTATTGTTCTAAAAGTGGTAGTGTTGGAGGCGGTCTCACTGGCCACGATTGCTGAAAAGTGGTTTTCAATAAATAATATTAAAAATCGTTTTTATTCGGTAACGAAATTGTATTTAAGTTATTCCATTCAATATCATCTATTCTTCGACGATTAACAGGCCATAAAATCTTTTACAAAAAAATGAAATTAAAATGGATTATCAAAAAATAAGAGATGTCAATTCAGTCACATTTGTAAATTATTATAAACGGATATTGTCAATTTACGACAGAAAATATTGCCAACTATTCTGTCAAAGTCAAAATGTCAGTCATGATGGGCGGGCTCATTAAAGGGACCAAGATTTTCGTGACGTTTCTAGTTTTAGATTATTCCAAATTGTATGTATAGAAATATGAGGAGGAAGGATTGTGAACTGGGGCCTTAGTCAAGATGCCTTAACAGTAGTGTATGTAGAAAGTCGAAAACTTAATTTGTATGGAAATGACAGTTCGTGTCGAAAAGTTTTCATACAAATTTAGTTTTTGACGTTCTACATACACTACTGTTAAGGCATCTTGACTAAGGCCCCTGGTCCTTCAGTGGCCAGGGCGAGAAATTGTAAATATCCTTAGTCTGTATAACTTCGTTGGCGCGTTTAGGATATGACGTCATCACAGTGTCGCTACAGATATATTAACATTTTAGACCAATTCATCGCCGGATACAATGCCAATGTTGGATTTAGACGAAATATACTAAAATTAGATAAAAACAGAAAAACTCTATTTTAATAAATACTTATACCATTTTAGTCCTAATTTAAAATATAAGGTATGTAAATTGAACTGACAAATTAAAGTAAGAGATGTTTAAGATATACGTAGATATTTATTATATTTTGGTGGGAGGTGAAGTTAAGACTGCGTCAGACTTGGCAGGCGACGTTCAGTGTTCTTAGTCTCGGCTGTGATATAAAGAATGTACCTAGTCAAGATCTCTGGTGATGCTTGACGTATTTTTGAACATTATTTAGCTATAAGGCTATATTATATACATAATAAAAAGTCCATTTTACAATGTACTCGGCAATAAATATTGCACCATGTCTGGCCATATAATCTCGTCTGGCTAGTTTTTTTATTTAATTATCGTATCGTAAATAAGCGTTTCGTGAGTCGATCTAAGCCGTAGTCCTCTGTGAAATAGTAAAAGTGCATAATTTATTATCGAATACTGAAAATTGTAATCTAGACATTTTTGTTTATTCTCTATAATGCCTACATAAAATGTATAGTAATTGGTAGAGAATCGATATGTTGTCATAGATTAAGTTTGATTTATATAGATTTATTATAAAGATATAACGTGTTACTGGAAATCGTAGGTTATCATTGTTGTATTGAATACGGGTTTATGTACTTGTTGGACCCATATGTATATAGAAGCCATAGAAATGTTTCCTAATACAAATGTAGACAACCAGTGACAATAAAATATTTGTTATAAATTATTATTTTATTACTTACCTATAAATCAACCTGCTTACAAAAATGAAATGTTGAAGTTACTAAATAAGCCTTGAAAAGTTTATATCCTAACTAGCAGACCGGCCAAGCGTTGCTGTGGCTAAGGTTTTTGTTATATTACATAGTAGTAAACTATTCAAGGGAAACGGCAGGAGAACACCAGTCATAGGGACCACCATGCTTTTTTGATGGTTATGCCATAAATTGTAGCTTATGTGAAACGTTGGTACTTTCAACACAGCGCCATCTGTTAGAAGTGTGACTATCAAATAATTAACAAATAATTTGCAATTAAATAATATTGCGGGTATAAATTGAGATGTAAGCTATCCTATCTTTTAAGTTATATCAAACTGCACACGGTGTGCAAATTTGATTGAAATCCGTTCGGTAGTTTAGGAGTCCATAGCGGACAAACAACGTGACACGTAATTTATATATATTAAGATAGGCCAAGATTAAAAAAGCACCTTCAACAAATTGTGCGTAAACTGCACAAATTACAAATTTCCCGATAACACCTGTCCTTTTGGTGGCTAATACTAACCTGAATTAAATGTTCATATTCCACTGATTCTAATTGTGTCACATTCAAATTGAATTGACAAGAGTCATGACTCCTGAGTTAGTGATAAACGCAATCAAAACTACTTACAAAAATTCACCACATCGTTAATGGAAGTATAACTCAAAAAGTTACACATCATCATGACTGTCTATGAGAGGTGGAATCATGCACCGAGTCTAGGATTGAAGTCGTAAAAAGGCTAGGCTCGAAGTTAAACTGGCATGAGCCAATAGAACGTCTCTTAAAAATCGGATTCCGTTGAATATAGTAATTGAGTAAATTCAGTATGTCTTGCTAGTTACGAAGATACAGGTGCGAATTCTAAAAAAGTAACCTAAGTGTTGCCAGTAGAGTTGCAATTCCTTTTCTGTTTATTAAAACAAAAATTATCTGACCAAAAGTATTTGACCCCTACCTGTACGATCGATATTACGAGTCTAAGCGCGGAGACGGAATCCACCAACCCCACCTGTACAGAGCGGTCTCATAAACCCGTTGTATATGTCTCATAAATACACTGCGAGCCGACAATCTTTACGACGAAAGAACATTACATATATTTATTTCCCAGATTTAAGATTGATTTAATATCTAATATTATTAATAGCCCAAAAAATAACATTTGAATGAAAATATTACCTTTTATATAAAAACCTGAGTAGATAAGAAATTTTTGATTTATTTATAGAACCTTACTTCGGTAAAATAGTAAATAAATTAATTTTAAGCAATAATTGAATAAAAAACTTACCTTAGTTAAAATCGTGATTTGCCTTCACCGACAAACAACTGAAAACTATTTATATCTATTATTAGGATGTAGACATACTTTTGTGTCTACTAAAAACATTTTTAAAATTAAAAATGGCCACCAATTTTGAATTAAATCATCATCAACATTTGTGAAAAGGATTAAAGGAAAGGCAGTGTATTCAAACGAAGATTTATGTAATTATCGTAACATCTTTTATTCTATATTATTTTTAATTTTACATGCTTAGTTCAAACATTAAGCAAGAAATAATCAATATTTAACATCTGGATAATATACAGCTCTTTTAAATGATCCACTTAAAGTAAAAAAAATACCCGTGTCCCGTCGAAGTTCCAGGAAAATTATCAATGTTGCATACATTGACCTTTCTTAGTACTTCGACAGAACACTTTTTTGCAAAATATTCCGTTTTAATAATGCCTTAAAATTAAATACACAAAGACTCGCACATGGGAGTAAAATTAATCAATCTGACAGGCAAACATTAGGAAGTGATTTATAATTGTTAACAAAATATATTTAGCTTTTCGCTTAAACATTAATTATTATATTTACAGTTACACATTTCTCTACTGAATGATATTAAAAACTTTTATCACAAAGATTTCATCTAAATACGCCTACGAGATGTTAAAGTGCATAGTAATAAATAGAGGATCAAGGTATATATAGATAGATAACCTTTTAGGTATAATTCAAGATCTGGTAATTAAAACATAGATTAAACCAAAACTCCTGTACACGTAAGGGCCTGAGACGCTTTAATAATTAAAATAAATTAAAAATAAATATGGCATAGACAAAAAATGCACTTTAACTTTAAGTGAACAAGCGACAATGTTACATTCTATTCAACAACCAGATTTAAATATTTACAATTTCTTTCATCGACGAGTTGTCACTTCTCACGCTAGAATAGATTTCTGTACAAAAAATATATCATGAATTACAGTTAAATAGCTTAATCATTTTCGTGTCTAGATTTTTACTAAGCCTTTAGGCGATTATTGCAACACATGACTAAAACCTAAGATCGATTATGCTTATTGAAACGAATTTATTAAGTAGATAACAAGTGTCTCCAGACGCTAAATCGTCTGGAAGCGAGACAATTGCAAGTGTATGTACAAGTTTGTGCAGAACCGGTTAGTGAGCGTTCGAGTATTACGTAACGCAATTTTTGGGAAATTTTCGGGCTCCCTTCCCATGTTACACACTCCAAAACGATATGAACACCAAGGGACCATTTTTTTTAGCAAAAACTCACAATTATGTGGCGTAGTACTAGACAGTCGCTAAAATAACCTAATTTTTACTTAATCCCGTTAATACTATGTTACATGTTATAATAAATATTTTTTTATAACGCGGAGTTCAAACGACCCTGTAACGCGTAATAAGGGACAAGACCTCCCCTCTAATTCGTTACGTAATACTTGAACGCTCCCTTATACACATGCACGACGCACGCGTTCTAAGAAAATCATTAAACGAGTTCAAATCACAAAACGCTCTGCCTTCAAAGTATAGGCGGTTCTCCAAACAAAAGAGAATTTTGAAAACAGAAAATTTTTTCGACCCGACCACCCCGAGATCAACACAAATCAGATGACTTGAGCAATCCAAATAATGACACTGGGCGATTGTAGTTTTACTACGTTCTTATAATATACGCAATGACAAAATAATTGACTATTTACGTTAAGTAAATAGAGGCGAAATGCGCACGCGAAGCTATTCTTTCATTAGAAGTGAACATTATAGAAAACTTTGTAGGGGCCTTTGAAAATTGAATTGTGGGTAAATCAGCTGTATAAACGCTTTATTTATATATCTGAGACTAGACGAAGATTGTGACACTCTAAAAACTATGTTAGGCAATCACTGGGGCTATTAAATCTTTTTGCAAATTATAATTATTTGAAATGTCAAGAGTGGGAAACGGGAATCCTTCGATGTACTTAGCTTTAGTTTAATCTACACGGTGTAATACAAACATGTGTGTGTAACAAAAACTCTATAATCTATAACCTTTACGGTCTAATAAAATAGTTATATTATTATTGCTTTTACACAATTTTTAACTTAATGTTTTTCACATAGACAATATTTTTGGATTAGCTCATTTATATTTGGAATCCATCCAGTAGTTCTCGACTATATTCGTTATAAAAATAAAATCCTCTTCGTAATATTAGTATAGAAATTCATAAACAGATGTTAGGTCAGATGACCATTATGAGGTGATTGACCCCAAATTTGAATTTCGATTTTTAATAATTATGAAAAAGACTACTATTTTACGCGCTTTGCATTTTTTATTAACGACATGATTGGCCAGTGTCATTTGCAATTTCATGCACAAGAGTCTCGTTAAGTAACGGGAATTGTTTCCCGGAAAATAAATATAATACTTGTCTAGAGCTTTTTCTGTATTCGAGGTTTAAAAGAGTTTTTGTTACATACTGTATATGTATTGTGTAATTTAATGGTAACAACATACATTCGTTGTATATTGGTTGTTAAGTATGCAATACAATCTTAAAAAATAATTCAAACTGTATTTCAATAGACAAAAAATATAACTATAATTTTATCTCCCAAAGTGGTTTTAAAATTAGTGTGATGGGTAAAGACTTATACTGGCAACACTCAAACGTCAATTGTAAATTGTCAAAAATTACGCGCCAAAAGAAATTACCGACGTAAACATCAATGGCGAAGTGATTTCATATCGACTAACTTCCACTACTACGTCTAGACACGCCCAAACTGTATACTAAAAAATAAAACAATAAAAACAACTATAATTTACTTACATTATGCGTATAAAAATCTAGTCAACGTACCCTAGGACGCTACCAAATAAATTAACATATCAATAAGATACATATACATTGTACATATATAAAAATCTTTATGCCACTATACTGTGGGTATTGCGATATAATCGGTAGTCGCACGGGTTGCGACCAGTCGCAATATATTGGTACTAAGAAACAAAAAAAGCACCTTCGTCGATGATACAAAAGTATCTGAAATTGGGAAGACATAGACTGCTTTTTAATCTATTAACACTCTAGGAACGTTTAAATGTATAATATCGTGTTAGGCCCGTAATTATAACTCATGTCACAATCTCATATTGATGTCAAACTCCGAATAAAAAATGTGACGGCTCTTAGAATAAGTTTAAACATCGTTCAGGAATACGGGCCTAAGAAATGTCAATTTAAATATCACAAGCGATCATTGAACGATCATTGTCGATAACTGCGACTAGTCGCAAGTCGTGCGACTACGGGCTTAATTCCGTAATAACCCTACCGTATACTACGTCTTACATTACACACTATATACATTATATACAGAGGGGAAATAAAAATTTGTACTTGAAAACCGTGAAGTCGAAGAAATCGATAAAACTGAAAATATACAACTTACACACGAATCGTTAAAAAATTTACATTACAAGCGACAGGTGAGATTTACAAAAATATTATCTTATCTTGTGTGCGCACGCCTCTACCTCTCGCAGCGTTTCGCAACCTCAGCGACATCTGGAACGAGAATATTGTATTTAGAAATATAATTACAATTGTTTTAACCAAAGAAATCACTTGTCTCTTTTCATCACAGCGTAAACACAATTTGTCGAACGAGGCAGAAGAGCACTTTGCATAAATGACTAACAATTTATATACAAAGGGATTGTGTTTCAGTAATATTGCAACATCACTTCAGATTCTTGAAGGAATGTTCGTCAAAATCAAAACATACTTTTGGAGACTATTTAACGACTCATTGGTCTAGTGGTTAGTACCCCTGACTGCGAATTCATGGGTCCCGGGTTCGATCCCCGGCTGAGACGAACATCAATGTGATGAGACATTTGGGTTGGTAGGTGGTGATTGTTATTATGTATATGTTTTATCGTTGCCTATGAAATTGGTGTGAATTGTCTTTAAAAAAAAAAAAAAAAAAAATTTAAACACTGATTTAAGGTAAATCCACACTTACCCGAGGGTTCGGTAGCAGGTCTCGCTTCCTCATCATCAGGTAATGCGAGGCCAAATTCTTTTCGAAGCCGAGAGCTCAGATTTTCCCGCTGTCGCTCTGAGGCTGTTGGCTGAGCGTCGAACACACCTGAAAGGAATTCAATTTTATTAGAACTATCGAAGAGAAATCTGTTGTAAGTAGGCAAAGTGTTATTTTAATCTAACAAGGCAAACGAGGCTCATCTGATATAGATACTCGCATTGCCAGAGGGCTTGCAAGTGCAAAGGCCGTTGGCGGCCTTTTAAGAATTGGTACGCCCTTTTCTTGAAGCACCCTAAGTCGAATTGGTTCGGAAATACATCTGGGAAGTGGCTGTGGAACGACGGACGTCGGGATGATGATACAGGTGGATTTTATTCTGCCTCGACGTCCGATGATGAAACTTCGCTGCACTACTCCTCTCACGTAATTGTTTTATCCCAGAAACCGAATGCAACGCTCACGTCAGCCACTAACCACAAATAATTCGTTATATATACGACTAGTTTTTATCAAAACCATAGAATACGGCTCGTTAAAAATGCGAATATTCTCAAAAACGATCGCATACAATGTTAATACGTTGTTGTTTTGGGTAATAACAGCGCGAATGACCTTGACCAGACTCGTGTAAGCGCATACATTAACATACATAAAATCCGGATTTTCTGGGACGGTATTGAGCTATTATTTGTACAACTGTAATTTAACTAATACACTTGAAAAAACTTCTGTATTGGAAATTTTCTTCCAGTTTAGTGATAATTATGCAGATGAAGGCGGTTTTTGTCCCCTTGTAAACAAACATAGATAATTGATCTTAGACTCTCGATAATTTTAAACTCAAGGGTCCAGAGATTTATTTTAAATTACCAAAAGTTTAAAACCCCCAAGAGGGAATGGGGAGTCAAGTAAATAAGAGACTGATTAACATTCCTGATTTATTATTTATATTATGTATTAAATACAATAACTATTCACAATTTTTTTATGTTGAAAAGAAGTCTTTCTTGAGTCAGCGACTTTAGTCAATTACTTTTCCGCATCAAACATTAACATGACTTATTAACGTTTGAAATAATACTGGAACGCGAACTTCCCCATACATGTCTGCACATCTATGTAAACAAACGACATCCCAGACTTCAAATTATCATGATGGCGAGCAAGATACTATTCCTTCCACATCGTAAGACCGAGGGGACCAATTACCATTGAATGAAATACATATACATATTCAATTTATCGAGTATTTTTCAAAGGACCGGATAAAAATGTCAAATTATCAAGAGTACACAAAATAATTAATGGTAGTTAACCATCTGTTATACCTTATTTATTTATGGTTGTCGCACGTCAGATTTTCACTTTGACATACACATAGATAATAGAACTTTGTAATAATGTTTGCTTGAGTAACTTTCTATGTGTACAAAACAGTATAGTATACTTCATTATTAAATTCCAGGTTTAGAACATTGCCAACTATATATTCCTTTTAAAATTAAAAATATGTTAAAATTTAGCCTTTAGACAAAGTGTGTGTGTTTCGTGATATATGAAACAAAATTTTACGTTTAGTCACGTGATTATGCATGTTAGTGGGTGTAGCAAAGTATCATTGTGCCCCGTTTAACTTGCGATAACGATGATTGCCAGAACCAATTATCTCGATAAAGTAGTCCGTAACAATTTAAATTAATTTGCAACGACTCATTCGCTGATACACGCGCAACGTCATGCATGAATTATTCAAATGCGGAAAATAAATCCATTGTCTTGACGTGACAATAATTAAAGATATTTTATTAATACATTAAATTTTACGACTACTTTATTTCCTTGCTTTTGTTTAAAAATAAGGTTTACCAAAATTAAATAGTTTTAATAAGGATATGTCCTATACTGTTACTACAACAAGCTAGACTGTTTTGTATTGAACACACGGCATATTAACATATGAACGAATGACACCTCCATCCGTAAGGACTTTTATCTCTATATAATATTCTCGTGTACATGTTCGTACCATACTCCTCCGAAACGGCTCAACCGATTCTTATGAAACTTTTATGCATATTCAGTAAGTCTTGAGAATCGGCTAATATCTATCTTTCAAACCCTTAAGTGATAAGGGGTGTCCATCCTAAATTTTTTTGTTAACATTTTAAATAAATGTATTTTTTTTTAATCTTTATGATACAACATAGAAATATACACACAATCCTTACTTTTCACCCCTCTACGATCAACCCCTATTTTTATTATAGCAGATAGTTATTTTTATTGCACTAAAACAATGTTTCTTAGAAATAATATACATGGCAAAAAAACGTTTGTAGGGTCAGCTAGTTACTTTATAAGATTGTAAACTGTTTGCTACTGATTCTGGGAAATAGACATTCAAAAACATTTACCCCAATCCTTACTTTTTCATCCTTTTAAAAAATTATTTAAAGGATTATGGTAAGCGATACAAAGATAAAAATCGCGTTTAAAATACTGCGCAGTTATTAATCGTTTAGTGTCATATACTCATTCATATTACATCATCAGAATTCTAATCTCATGATAACAATGTGAAGTTTACGACTTAGTAACGTTAAAATTTCCATACGTTTCACTTTGGTTTCCACTTAAATTTTGTTATATTTTATAATTTCTTTATATGTTCAAAAACAAAAGAAATTGATACTAAAATAATAATGGATGGAAATGGAACTATATTGTTATAAATTTATTGACTGACACTTCGTTATTCACATTAGGACTACAAATAAAATCATATAAAAAAGGCAGCATTACCGGAAATACCGGCATACCCGTAGTTTTTTCTTAATATCTATTAAGAAAAAAACTACGGGTTGCACTCCGGGACTGCCGGCAGAAGTGAAAACCTGAATATTAACGTTGTGTATTTTTGATATTTTGGAATGGTTAGAGAATAATTTTGCACGAATTGCTTTTATTATCAGTATAAAAGTACTATCATTTATGTGGTACAATACAATATTTATTTATTGAGCTATCGTACACAAACATGACAATTTATATTACATTAAATACGCCGCGCCAGCAGTCTACTCTCCATCCGTCTTACGAATTTTCGATCAGGTCACGTGTCCTGACGCGAGTTTAACATTTTTCACCCATTCCAAAAAAGTGTACAACGCCGCTAAAGAAGTTTTCACTTCAAAAATATTACTAGAAAATGCGAGAAATATATTGTAACTAAGTTTTATATTTGATAATTGAGTTTCTAAAGTCAGTTTATAAGCATTGTCTAGGTACATTGTACACGCATAATCTTTAAATTGTTTATTTTGGTTCGTAAATAAATGTACAAGTAGCAAAGGCCCATTACCCGAGTACTACAACACATTGATCGTAAATATTTAACATTTATACCGGATATAGATAATGTTTTCTAACGACGGAGGAAGTTGCGTGCGTTTACGCTTTGATTGGCACTTTGACGAGTTAATTAGCAATTTGCTTGTAAAATACCGATTTACTAGTTGTTACTTGTTAATACAAAACTATTTTTCGTATTAATTTCAAATTTTCATTAGCAGGTTCTGGATTATTATCAAAGATATAATCGTTTGGTAGAATGAAAATACCACCACAAAAAAAAATAAGTGTGTAGGATAAACTTCCAAAATCTATACAAAAATATCGATTAAATTTTTAATCGAACGATAAATGAATATTCATAGAATTCAATTATAATATTACTTTTTATTACAATTATTGTTGGTCAAATTTTTCTATTAAAACCATTGAAAATTACCACTATGTGGAACCAGCTGCCCACTGTAGTATTTCCCAACCAATTCCGAAACTTAGGGTCCTTCAAAGAAAGAGCGTCCCAATTCTTAAAAGACAACGCACTTGTGAACCTTGTGGCAATGTAAGTGACCATGGGCGACGGTTCACTTATCACCAGCCTCTTGCCCGTTTCCCTATTCTATAAAAAATACCAATAATAATAACTACGAGTATAAATCCATTCGAACACTGAGTAGAAGCTTTACCTTTAGGCATATGGGAACCGAGGTCTTTATGCAAACGCTGCTCCAGCTCATCAACTGCTGCTGCCGCTGCTGCTTCGAGCCTTTGCGGTGAGAGAGACGCTGACCCCGAAGAATTGGTGGACCCGGAAGACCATTCTGGCCCCAGACCCAGTTCCCCACCCTCGGCTGACGCATCGTCGGAAGCCGTTGCTCCCTTATGTCTCTTTCGATATTCGGTTATAGAGAGCTGGGGATAACCATGAGAACTGTTTATAAGTATTTTAAAATAGCTATACATGTTTAAGAGATTTCAAAAGGAAATACTGTATGTATTGTTGTAATTTCATAATTTTTTTATATTTGTTTAAGCAAGTTCTGTTCTATTTCATATCGAGATGATTCATTTTTTATTTATAACTTGTCTAACTGTTTTATCAAAATTGGTTAAGCAGTTAGAGATATGGGTATATAAGTACATAAAAATATTAGATGGCTTCTAAATAAATTTTTATTATTTAGAAAGCTAAGATATGCTGAAACATTCTAAAACATACATAATAAATATTTCGCAACTCTAGTAAAACATTACTGTAAAAAGAAATTACGTCATCGTTTAAAAGGCGCAAAGCAGGCATTAAATAATAATCACCCCTTATGGTTCTCCGTCAATGATTTCTCATTGAAGTAGGGAGAAATTTTTCCTTAACTTGCTTAAAATCCCATTCGCAAACACTATAGTACAAACTCTATATCAAAGTTTAAAATATGATTGTGTGGTGGTATTAAACAAGTGGTTTTTAATTGCAGTAATTATGTTTGATATTTCAAGGTCACTTGTATCAACCTCAGAATCGAATAATTACATCGGCATAATATAAAAAGCAAGAACACATCAATACAGCCCTGATACTAAAATATTAATTACTATTGCGTTGTATACGCTAAATTAAAATAGAATTAATTACCCAACTTTTTAATTATCGTTCTAATTACGTGATATAAAACTTCATAATATTATTTAAGATTGTATTTTTTGTCATACAAAAGAAGGCCAAGGTTATTCGATGTAATCGCTAGACACGTGGATGATATAGACGTGATAATTGGTTGTGTATGTTTAAAACTGCTGGTGTATATTATTTGCCCAATAAGACCTACCACATTAAAAGATTACATATAGCTATAGGTTAGGTACTGCTTCGAAATAAATTGTATTTTCTATAACATAAAAAAACTGCACTGTTCAACACATTTTCAATACGTGACCTTCCTAATGACAAATAAAAAACAATTTAAAGAGTAATAAGAACTCACCTTTCTTCTAACTGGTTTGGGTTTATCAGCTGGCGGAGGATTAAGCCTTGGGTCATTGGTGCGAGGGCAGTAGGGCTTGGCAGGGCGGGCGGGAGACGAGGAAGGCACTGGCGCGTCCAACAGCCCGCCCTTATTCGAACTCTTCAACACACCCGACAACAACACACTGTTATTTGAGTCCATATTATTCACTCGCGTCAGTATCTCCTGAACACTTTTCAGTTCGTCCACTGGAGTTATACTGTCTTTATCGAATATACTAGCGTCTAAACTTGTAGTCCTATCTATTGCACTTTTTATTAACGACATATTTGGTATATTCTCGTTTATGGACGAGTCCTTGAATGAATTTGGCATGTTACTGAAGAGGCCCGAGAAGAGACCGGTGGAGCCAAATCTTGGGGAAAACGGCGCCGAATCTAGCACGGAGGGCCGTTCGACTGCTTCTAGCTTGGGCGAGTCAGGGCATGTTTCGATTTGGTTAAGAGGTTTCATTGGCTCTTCTGGAAGTGGTATTGTTTCCGGAGACGGCACTATGGCCATTGGATTTATTTCTTCCGGTAGTGGTATAGTCTCTGGAGCCGGCAATGGTATCGATTCAACAGGCGGTAGAGGAATATTTTCAGGTGATATCTTCATTTCCTCATGTGAATTTGTATCATCATGAATGTCACCGTTGAATTCTGAATTACTAGTATCATCCGTTCTCAATTGAATACTGATTTGATCATCAACCATGTTAAGATCAAAGTTCAAATTCACCTTCTTCCGTTTCTCTTTTGGTGGTTTCTTATTTCTGCTTTTGAGAAAAAGTATGTTCTCTGTGTGAAAAGAATGTATTTTCTTCTGAATATCATCCATTTCATCTCGTTGCGGTGATGAATTACCACTTGTATCTGCTGATTGTGAGCTTTGTACCTTCTCAATAGGACTGGCACTATATTTTATATCAGTGTGAACTTCATTAGATTCTATTTTGGATTGCGTTATCACAGTTGTGTCTATCTCCATTGGAACAACTTTATTGTTTGTTTCTTCTACTTCTAAATTATTGTTATTGTTGACAGCTATGTCTTCTTCTTTAGGTACTTCTGGTATATCATCAGGAACGCCAATAATTCGGCGGATATGTTCAGTGTTGTGCGCTCCCAATTTAACATTAAGAACATCGTGATCGATATTGCATTGGTCGTCGGAACCTTGGCCACTGTCAGAACGCGTCCTGTCTCGTGCATACATATCCATTATGTTACGCTTGTATTGACGAGCTAAAGCGAGCGAATCTTCCTTAACCGGTGAATCTTCAGATGTCATTACTGGCGAAACCTCGTCATTACACTAAACAAATTTTAAACATAAATTAGAGGAAACAAAATACATATATTATATTCCAATTTCAAAAACAATATTACTTACAGTATCATGTGGATTTTGGTCACACGATAAAGATTCTCTGGCCATTCTTCGTTTCTTCAACGGTGTCACCATTTCATTGGGTGGAGATTCTGGAACAAATGTGTCTACATTAAACGTAGTAATCGAGTCTGAAATAAAATTAGATATTTAACGACCGGACTGAATCTTACCAAGACATGGCGAATCGCTCTCTTCGCTGATAGCCTGTCGCAACCATCGTTTCTTTGCGCTGTGGTTTTGTGGGAATTCAGGTGTTTCAATCGCCGGTGTACTTCGTGTTACTCTCTTAGCTTTCTTTGGTGGTCTACTTCTATCTTTCCCTGGAGTCAGTGGTGGCGACTGGAGCTGCTCTTCTTCATGATAATCTTGCCCACCGCTGAGATCGCCGATCATCGTTGAGGCAACTCTGACCAAACTTTCCAAAGAGGTAGTCGAAACTAGAGACGGTCGATATGGCGAGTTGTAAGGCGATGGTGTCCTCTCTGGCGAACGACCAATCCATTCATTGGCCATTGTTTTCTTTGTTTTTGGCTGTTTGAAAGCGGATTCAACCGAACCAACGGCAGCTTCTACTAGTAAGCACGCAGAACTCAATCCAAGATTCTAAAATAGAAATTGCACATTAATAAAATCGGTAAAAATAATGATATATTTAACTAAATGATCAAACTTACGTCTGGCATAGATTCCTGTGGTTTGATCTCATTTATGGGCGTGACTGGATCATTTCTACAAGGTTCGTGAGGCGGCGAGAATGGTTGGGCTTCATCTCCTGAAGTCACAAGATCACTGTCTGCTGAATTTAATCGCCTTCTGTTTGATTGTGAAGATGTGCGAGCACGACCTCTGCGTCTAAAAAATAGCAAACATAAAATTTTTAACGTTATTTTAAATACAAATTGATATTAACAGGAGAAAAATGTTTCCTTAACATACCGTTTTCTCTTTTTAAAGCTATTATGTACATCTTCTTCATCTTCCTTTTCAGTGAAGTTGTGTGGATGCGGGTCAGACTCCCTCCGTTTTTGCCTTTCTTTCACTTCTTGTTTTCTTTGTTCGGCCCTTTCCATTCTCTCAAATGCCTTCATTATAGCCTCCATTTTACGTTCTTCACGCGTCTGAAATAAAACCATTGATATTAATTATATTTCCTTAGATTTTTAATATGGAAATTAAATAAAAATGTAGATCAATATTTCTTCTCACCATTTTCCTCTTTTCCTTTCCCTTGCTGGTGGTTGGCATTTTATCTTGAGAATCATCAGTTTTGTCATCAAGTGAGTCTTGATTAACACAAGTAGTTCTGCTAGTTCTTGCAGAGCGGTCATGACATGCCGATTTTGCCGTTACTTCTTTAGTTAGAAGATTTTCTTCTTCTGTGACATCTTCTATCTTAGGTTTTTCTTCTTTAGGTTCCTCTAACTCTGGTTCCTCCAATTTTTCTGGTAGTTCTTTTACTGGCTCTTCTTTTTTCAATTGTTCAACTTTCATTTCTAAACTCTCATTGAGCTTTTCCATTTTGGCATAAAATGTAGGCAAAATTGGTTCTTCTTTTGTTTCAAATATTTCCAATTTTGTTTCAACTTTCTCAAATTCCATTGTATCATCTGGCTTAAACTGCGTGTGTGACTGAATAATATCTTTTGGCGTTTCTTCAAGTTTAGGTTCAATTTTAATAAAATCTGGCTCGTCAAAGTCTGATTTCATTTCTTCTTTAGCAGTCAAGTCTATTTCTTGATAGAACTCTTCTTTCACATCAGATTCAGACTTAATAGGTTCATAATATTCTGGTGATAGCATTGGTTCTTTAATGGGTGACATAGGTGGTAACTCATGCTTTATAGGTGAGCGTTTTTCTTGTTTTATTAATGGTGGCTCACACTTAAACGGTGGTGGATTTTCTTTTGTCGGTGTAGTCAAAATTGATCCCAAAGGAGGAGATAGTGGTGATGACGAACTATAGCACCTGTTTCGACTTCGTTTTTCTCTCAAGGGAAGGTCTATGCTCTTACGAGGAGGTAAGGAAACAGGGCTGAAACCATTTATTTTACAATGCTTAGGGTTACCACATGCACACGGCTGTTTACTATTATCAGCGTCATGGCCCACGGTAATCTCAGTATTTGACTGAATCACGCCGATTGTCGCCAAATATACGTGCAAAGCACCTTTAACAATACAATGCTGTAATTCTGCATTTGGCTTACACGACCGGCGGACAAATCTCGCTTCGTTACCATACGTTCTCGTGTCTATACATATCTGAGTGTTGTCTTTTGGTAATCTGTAAAAGAATACAAATGGGCCAGGTTTCTGACTTCCAGCCCGTACAGAGTTTTGCAACTGAGGTCTGTGCTGATTAGAAAGCATATATTTCCCTCTCAATTCAATTATTGGAGTATTTTCTTTGAGGTCTTTAGTAGCTATTAATATTTTACCCCCTGCATGTGGTACTGTGGTGCATAAATGTGCAGTAATTGCCGAAGCCATATTGGATGTGTTTCCAAGCTTACTACTGTATTTCATAATCTTTGCTCGCAATTCAGGACTGTAATGATTAGTTACAGCAATTTCATAAAGGTCTCGCCAATGCATTTGGTTATTTGAAACATTTGAGTTGTATTTGTTTCTGTTCATCATCATTTCCTTTTTACGTTTTACGCGCTTTTCCGTAAGTTTTCTTTTTGTAACTTTCTTCACCATTTCCGCCTTTTTAGGTCGTTTTGGACCTCTTTTCGGGGGCAACTGGGGTAGAGACGGCTGCGGTAAGGGCGGTAATACTGGGGCATTTGAATTATAAGTAGTGACACAACTGCCACTGGTGTTGGTATACGTTGTTACAGTTAATAACCTCTTTCGTCTTTGGCCGGGAAGTCGATGACATTCTGAAGAATCTGAATCCGATGCTCCGAGAGCGCTCAATTCTTCTCGTTTTCTTAGCTGTATGGCACGAGCATGACGACGATCTACAGCACGGGGCTGGCAGAGCTCACACATATAGGCATCAGGTATGTTGTTTCTGTCAATACCCATACAGTCAACATGTTGCCATTCTCCACATCGGTCGCAACATATCATGTATCCATCGTCATGGGTAAAGTCACAGATACACCTAGTTTTCCCTTCTTCCTCACCTTCAGGGGCAGTCTCTGTATCACTTCCCCCTTGCTCGGGTGGCCTCCTCTCACCCTCAATAGAGGAAATAATAGATGCCGCATCGTCATCTTGATTCGGTTGGGTTTGTGGTTTATAGGTTATGGAGCTTAAAGGCAAAGATGTAACTGGAATCGGTACTGAGATTGGCGCTGTCGGTACTGGAGTCAACGCTAAGTCAAATGTGCTAGTGAGAGCTGGTGAAGTTTTCATAGGACTGATTGGTGCTGGTGTCGACAATATCATTGGTGACACAATAGGTGGTGGAGTAGTAAGAGTTACGGCTACTGTGGTAGTAGTAGAAGTAATAGCCACACTCGTTGGTGATGAAACCACTGGTTGCTTTTGTACTGGCAATGCATAGGTGTGATCCAACATGACAAAGACTAATCCCTGATGTGAATATCGACGTAACTCTTCAGACAAGTTAGGTCTCTCTTCAGTGCCAATGATATCATCTGCCGTGAGTAAAGTTGACTTGTCTCCACTGAAAAAAAAAATAGTATTAGATATTTACAATTAATAGTAAAAATCATAGGTTATGTCATACTAAAATACACTTACTACATAATCCTTTTTTGTTTTGCTGGTTTTATCTCGAGAGGTTCCTCAATAGCCTGTGGTGACAAAAGAATATTGTTCCGTTTTAAGGAAATATGTGCGGAACTCTGTCCCATAACTTTTGGTTGAGACAGTGATTGTAGTATTTGTGCTGTCAACTGTTGGTTAGCCGACACCTGGGAAATGGTGGAAAGTTGATTCTCAGCACCATATGTCTGAACATATCTTAGATTGGGTGTTGCACCAGACTGAACATAATGAGGGCCTTTTGTCAGGTTTGTTGTCACAGGAGCTGTCGTTAGCAATACTGGCCCACAAGGAGATTGCAGCACCAATCTCTCATTTTTCTGCATTTTTAGAGTGTGGTTTTTGTTAGGACTACCAACCTTTTGTATTACTTTTGAAGTATTTGATTCCACAAAAGAAGAGGCAGTCTTGTAAGTGACATTGGCAACGGGCCATGTCTTGCTTTCTGATTTTTGAGCAGTACCAGCCTGCTGTATTATTTTAATAGGTCTCGATTGATTCTTTTGCACTTGGGAATTTTTTCCCTTTACAGCATTTACTGATTTTTTCCCGTGCACTGACACTTTGTTAGGTCCAGAGACCACCCGAGATAAAATGTGACACTGCATGCTACTGGTGGATGCGGCAACCATTGCATTCACATTAGCACCATTGTTTACCTTACTTAGGTTTGTGCTCTTAGTAAATGTATGGCCGTAAGTAACATTCTTTACCGGGCTATTATTTATTATTGCAGGTGATAGTGTTGCTCCACCGATAAGTGACTGACTTTTTGGTGGTTTAGTACAAAGTACCGAATTGTTAATTTGCTTTTGTGATACAACATTAGCACTCAGTTTATAAACATGATTTTGTGTTCCATATACTTGTGTTGTTATATCCTTCGTTTGGGCAATGTATTGTTGAGTATAGTTTGAATTTTTAGGTAAAGATATGTTACTTAAGATCTGAACTTTAGAGTTCTTGGGGCGATTGGAATAATTGGCTTCTATTATATTGGCTCTTCTGGGGCTAGGGTCAGTCATATAACTTTCACTAGTGATTATGATTTGTGAGACACTTGCTGGTCTATCTTCCTCATTTTTAATATTAGTTGGTGCACTAGTAGCTAAAATTGTAGGTAGCCATAAAGTTTGGCTCCCTGTTACGTCTTGGGATACATTTTGTATAGATGCTATGTTACCGACAGCACCATCCATATTTATTGTAAAGTTTTGAGGCAATTTGGTAACATTTTGAACAATAGCACTATTGAGAGGTGCTTGAATTATAGTTGCTGTATTTTCTACAAAATTAACATTAGTTGTATCATCGTCTTGTAATATGGGATATGCAATGTGTCCCACATTTTCAAGATTAGCTTCTTCAATTCTCACTATTCTAGGAAGGGAATCTACTGACATTTCCTCTTCACATCTCTTTTCATTAGTGTCATAAATGACTTCTTTGTTTTCTTCTTTATGTGCAGATTTTATAATACTTTCATGGTTAGTGGAGTCTGGTTCTGGATCACCATCATTACTGGACAAGGGGATGGCCCTTAAAACAGGAGTGCGAATACTTGGTACATCCATATTAGTAATTACTTTGGATTCCAAGATGTGTTCAAAAATACTATCACTGGAGGTGGTTGGCCCGTAATTCTGAAACCAAAATGATGTAATAATGAAATACACATACACAAATTAAATTTATGAACAAATGGTTACATACATATAGTAAAGAATTTCACTTGGTTGCTAATCTGTTCCTAGGTACAATATGTTTATAAATCACAGAAAAATAAACTTATATCTCAAGAATTCATATTGTCAATATTTCACAACTTACCATATGTCTACTATATTACTATATGTTCAAACTAAATCTAAAGGATGTAATAATACAACTTTATAATTAAACTCTTTATTTCAAACAATCATGTTTATTTTTGTAGATCTATATGTTACTTTAATATGATTGAAACTGGAAACTAAATTAATAATGATATCATTATAATCATATTTATGCTTAGTCAATCTAGCCAGAAATACTTAACAGAGAAGGGTTAAGGGACTCAGTAGCTGATGGTGGATGTTTAAATATATATGATCTTATGCTTATGTGGCATGGGAAGATAAAAAATAAATCACATGACGGAATCTATAAGTACTCACTTGCCGGGCCACAGGTTCATATTCCGATGTAGCTGACATACTGAGAATATCATCTTGGGTCAAACCCTAGATGATGCACTGGAGAGCTCCCTGGCCTCCAAGGTTTTATTACGTGACTGCAATCGAAAATTGATATTTTATCCCTGGGCCATCGATATCTTCAGAATTGGACGTTGAATGGGGCATATTACATTCGGGAAAATATTTTTAACCCTCGTCTAAGTACACGACAGTTGAGGTCATTGTTCCAAATTTTTATTGAAAACTCACATTATTTCACTTCCTACGAGAAAATATAAGGATTCACAACACAATAAAAGATAAAAAACAATTGGGAAGCAGCGTAATGTCGATATATAAGTAGATAGGTTAAAATATAGTGCCGCCATTATTGTGGCACAAAAACTGATGTCTCCAAACATCAAAAAAGTAAACACTAACCTAGAAACGTATTATATTACAATATATTAAACGTTTCATCCAAATTATTTATATGAAATATAAATTTAAAACATACGAGTTTAGTCCGCATAGTAACAAAGAGACGATAAAATAATTATAATAAGAAAATGAGGTATTGTATGTATTTATCAATTTTATTATCCGTAGTGTAAAAGATTCACACCTATATTAAATGTTAAGCAATTTTTAGAGAAGTAGTACAATGATCTATTTATATTCACACAAGTCTAACAGTTAAAACATAAGAAATCCAGATGTAAACATATTTAGAATGAAATTGGAAAATAAAATATACTAACCTTTACTAAATCTAAAACCGAATTCCCACGATGACTTTAATCAATTTCCATCAAATATTTTCATAGCACAAATTAAAAAGCTCTTAAAGTACGGAACTACGACCAAAACATTCACAAGAGTCGAAGATGGCGGCCATTGCATTTTCGTGATACAAAACAACGGGGGGTTACAAGGAAGTATTAGAAGTAGTGTCGCTTTCCGGTCAAATTCATATTTTTAAATATTTTTTTTTATATAAATATTTATTTTAATGTAAATATAAATTACAAATATTTAAAAATATTTATCACACAATTATGTTAAAACATTTTATCCATAGTATTCTAAATCATTTAATAAATCATTTAATTATTTTAATAAATTTAATAGACAACAAATAGGTTTGTTGCTTATGAAAGGAATAGCTAATAGTTAATCACAAACAATTCGTTCTAGAAAATAACAGATACATAGTCTATACTTGAAATTTAAAGATAAGAAATAATATTTTTTTTATTATATAAAAGGCTTCTTCCTGCTTCATATACCACATTTTACATGTAAATTAAAATAATTATTAATAACAATTATATAATCTGAAAGTAGATCCAAGAATGTACAACAGTTAAAAAAACAATAGTGATAACTAAAAATTTAAAAGTTCTATACTCTATTACTAAACTGCATACATAATAATATTACATTTATTTAATAATTGTTTAAGTAATATAAATTAAGTAAAGGTACCGAAGTACAAAAAAAACCCACTAAGGGTTGCTTGGAGCTGAAAAGCCACAACACAGTACACTTTCAAATTAATCTAGACAAAAACAATTAATATAAGTACTCGCGATCTGTGTTTTTAACTGATCATATTATGGATGTATGAAATATATTGATATCAGAATCTTTACACATTTAAATATAATAAAAACCTTTTTTTAGTTGGGTTTAATTAAACAGGTATGATTTAGGTATATGAATGTAGGTACAATTATTATCTGATAATTATGTATCTGAGAATAATTGTCACACACCGGAATCGTGTTAGGCTAACGAAATCGACTGACAGCGAAGACCAGCATGAAAATATATTTTTGTGTCTGATTAATAATACTCCTTTTTAACACATCCATATATCCTTTTGAAAATGAAGACAAACATATATCTGTCTCTTTTTCGCTTCTTTCAAATGAAAAATATATAATCTGAATAATGAATTAATTTAGTGATTGAAAAATCAATGAACTACTTCTTTTATAATTGTATTGTATATTTATGACTAAAAATGGTTCCCGTATAAAAGTTATGTAATGTATTAGACAAATAAATTGTCTGCTTCTATTCCGACAGCCTTATACATCTAATCATCATCACTAACACATCACAAGGATTCAATATTCTAAAAAGGAGTAAAACCCCTTTAGAATATTGACACCGATATAATTGATAGTGTTTAAAATTCTGTTTTTTATAGATAAATGCAGATTCAGAAATGTAATTTATACTAAAAGATCATACAGAGTGGTGGGAAATAAAATAATATCCGATACAGATATAGATAAAAACTATTCTTAGTTCTATTTTAAATGAATTTCTCTCTAATAAGATGGTCATACGAGATTTTATCCTTGGAGATGAAGATCTCAAAACTTAGGCGCTCACTAAAGCGTAGCATAGTAACCTACAGCAGAAAAGTTAGCAAATGTCAAAACGAAAATAAATAAGTTTAAGTGTATAAATGTGCGTGGCACATAGAGTCCTTTTCATGAAAGAAGTCCCGCGGAGATTTTTGGAACTAAATTTGACAGGTCGGCCATGTTGTCGTTCGTCGATGTTATCAAGTTCGTTTGTTGTGGTAGATTTTTGTTAGTTTTTAACTAGCCTAGTGCATTTTAAAGATAGTTTGCAATGCCAAAAGTTGTAAAAAGTTCGGCTCGAGAAATGATATGGAATGTGAAAGAGTTCTGTGAAGCGGAACAAAAGAATCAAGGTGTTTTAATACCACTAAACAATGTTCGGAAGAGAGTCGCCGCATAACAGGTACTTTTTAGAATTGCCACATAATAATTTTTTGCTATATTGATGATATGAGGGACTTTTATGATATAAATTCATTTTTGCGACAAAATTGAACAAATACATAACGAATGAAAGTAGGTAACTGAAATTAAAACATATATTACATAGTACATAAGCATTATAAACTTTAAGTTACTATTATTTTTAATTGTTCATTATTTAATTGCAGGTGTGTCAGAGAGAACTGTAACAATAATTACAAATGAAGGTATAACAGCGGCGAGTACTTCGAAAAAAGTGGTCACCCCAGGGAAGAGTCGCCCTCATCCAAACTAGTATCAATATAAAAAAAGAACAATAATTATATCTATGGCTAGTGATACTGAAACATAATCTGATTCTGTTTCCATCCACTCTTCAGACAGTGATGTTCCTATGGCCGCTGATGACAATTATTCAATAAAACTCTGAATGAAAAATTGTACTGCTTTTCTTTAGTATTGTCTTTTATTGACATAACTTTCACACATTTAATAATAAAACAATTTATTACCGGATTGAAGTTATGTATTTACAATTATTGGTATTTTGTTTTATTTATGGTATTTCTTGGTCACCGTGACCACGCACGCTGTAAAGCACACGAAACGTTAAATTTAAAATTATGAGAAATAATTGTAAATACATAACTTCAATCCGGTAAAAAATTGTTTTATTATTAAATTATTTTCTTTACCCTATTTTCTCATGTTATACCTGTAAGTAGGTTGAACATTGCATATATAAGTAAATAAAAATATAATTTTTACATTACAGAAATACTTGTTGTTTCATCGAAGTATGCAGAAAATAGTATTATTTGTTAAATTAAATATGCTAAATGTAAAATAGGTAAATTTTTTACTCATTAATGGCAACATTACGTCACGCGAGTACAGCGCCGCGTCTGGGGGACTTCTTTCATGAAAAGGACTATAGTAAGAGAAACAGGGGGTTTATTCACGATGCCTTAGATAACAGTAGATCTTCTAGTGTATGTAGAAAGTCGAAAACTTAATTTGTATGAAAATTTTTCGACACGAACTGTTATTTTCATACAAATTAAGTTTTCGACTTTCTACATTCACTACTGTTCAGACATACAGATGCCCAAGGTACAATAAGAGGAAGACAATTTACAAGGTGGATAATCCTGATTAAAGAAACAGTGTGATGTGCAAAGAGAAATTATAGGATTTGGAGGAGGCCTTTGCCAAAAAAGGGCATAGCGATACCAAAAAATACATATGTATTCCAATGAACCTAGATCTAAAATAAAATGCTTTTATCATTTTTTTATACGTGCAGTATTAATGTCTACGATAAATACACATAGTACAAGTCTAGTATAGTCTATATTCTTTACCTGTGGTATATTATTTATAGGTATAGTTGTTATTGTTATTAGCAGAGTATTTTATTCTATGCTCGTAACTGTCAAAAAGCAAAATCAACGTGCGTTTAATGCGTATTCGAATGCAAATGAAATATTGAGTTTGGTTTTAGGTTATGTTTTGTTTTAAACTAATAATTAAACACTAAAATTTATAATGACTACAAGCGACTTTGTTTTAAATGAGAGTGATAGTGAAATTGATTCTGATGAGGAGGTAAAAAGTTATTATTAAGTGTGGTTTATAAATTATGTACAGTGAATAATTTACTTTTATAATTTTAGTTACAAGAAGCATTCGCAAAGGGATTATTGAAACCAGGACTTAATGAAGAAATTGAAAAGGTAGAAAAACGATATGCGAATAACGTAGCAGACTTAAAAACTAAACTTAAGGAATTTCAGCTGAAATTACCATGGGTTGAGACTTTAGATTTGGTTACAACTGTTGCTCCAATGGCCCCTGATGTGGCACTACAAATTCAACAGACAGCAATACGTCGAAAGTCAGTTTTGAAAATTTTAAAGTTTTTTTTTGTTGTATATGGGACTGCTAAACTTACAATTTTAAATTATTTTCAGAAACCTTCAAGAGAACAGTAAAGGTAAACAAGTGTATGACCCAACCAATGATCCAGTTTTGAATGAATTTAAGCGTGAGAATCTTATACATCGTCAAGCCCAATCTGCTGTGTTGGATGGCATTAAACGATTAAAGGATCTTAACATATCTACTAGAAGGTAATAGTTAACTGCTTAAAAGATATTCATTTATTCACAATTTGAAGGATTCTTATATGACAATTATCTATTTAGGCCTGATGACTTTTTTGCTGAGATGGCAAAAACAGATGAGCACATGCAGAAGGTTAGAAAGAACCTCATGGCTAAACAGGCGGCACAATCGAGAGTAGAGAAAGTGCGACAACTAAGAGATCAGAAAAAAATGGCTAAAAGAGTACAGGTACTTAAAATGTTGCTCAATTTGTAACAGAACTTGCATCATGTTTTTTATTTTAATATATATGCAGTTTTCTATTATTTAGTAAGGGTTCAGTAAAATAAATAAATAATCTGTTTTTATACTAGTGTTAAGTAAAAAACATTTGGACATGACACAAAATGACAAACTAAATTATTCATTTGTTTCAATCTAAGAAAGTATTAAGTATTACATTGTCTTTGAGCTATGTTTAGGCAAGGTAATGGAAATATAACTTTTGTGAAAAGAAGCTGTAATTTTCGGGTATAGTCTGACCATTTAGTCCATAATGTAATTAACAATAGAATAAAGTTTTTATAAATATCTTTACAACAATAGTTAAGTGAAGTCAATGCAAGTTTGAATAGGCGGTGGTTATCAAACATGAATTATAGTGAACTTGAATATATATTAATACTAAGGCATAAGGTATGATTTGGAGGCAAGACTTCAAGCTAAGTTGGATTCCTGTATGTCAAAAATGCATTGGATTTTGACATAATATAGGAATCATTGGGCGTGTTCGGCCGAAGTAAGTACTTACTAAACTTAGTAAGCCAGTAAGCATAAAAAAATTAAAGTCTTACAAGCTGACTGTAGCGCTTTTCGGCCAGGACAGACTTACTGGCTTATTAACATAACACAAAACACCGGTTTATGTCATATCCCGTACATAACCTCATAGACTGAATATAATTGACAGTACTAAATTTAGGAATATAATTTAATACCTGTGAATAGTTTCAAATGGATAATTTTATGAGAAATATTTTATTGGATATTTTATTGTCCGTTTTGTTTACATCAACAATAAGCAAAATGGCGTCGTATATTAAGCCATACTTACTGCGTTAGCACTTATTTTGTGTCCCGGCCGAAAATTTTGTAAGCATAGTAAGTGACTTACTAAATTTAGTAAGTACTTACTTCGGCCGAACACGCCCATTGTTTGCAATAAGTCTTTAACTCTGAATCCTACCTTGAGACTTTGAAACATGATTGAAGCATTTTCTTTCAGTCACTTAACACAAAATATCAATAATTTTTCAGATTGATACTAAACTAAAGCAAGCAGCAGATAAAAAGCAAATGTTGGAACAATTAAAACGCGTCAGAAAGGGCAAGTCAACTGATTTAGACTTCTTAGATGACAATAAAGGAAAAGGAAACAAAGGCAATGTTAAAAACAAAGTTAATAAGAGAAGAGCAATGAAAGACGATAAGTTTGGTTTTGGTGGAAAGAAGAAGGGTTCAAAATTAAATACCCGAGAATCCTCAAGCCAAATGGATGGTTTTAATAGTTCTGCCAAGAAAAAACCATTCAATTTTAAATCTAAACAATTTACTCCTAATAACAAGAAGAAGAATCAGAGGCCTGGTAAATCTAAGAGGAAGAATGCCAAGAGATAAATGTAATTAGCAAATATAAGAATAAAGCATTGAAATTTTTTAAAGCCTTATTATTTTTATCATGGAATTTTTTTCAGTAATGTTACAATAGATTATTATAGATATGTAATTGCTTTTTAGTTAAAAAATGTATTGATCTCTCTCAAAGAGATTGCAATAAACAAATCTAGTACTTAGCCTAAATTATTATTGTGCAGCTGTGTGCAACAGTATAGAAATGTGTTTGATCTGTATGGACTTCAAACCTAATATTTTATTACACTATAAAATCTAATTTAACAGCTCCTTAATATGTCCATTGTAACAATTGTTCAATTCTAGGAATAATATATATTTATATATCCGAATTATGTTATTGGCGGAATTCTAAACGTTTAAATGGTTTTTCACATTTATTTCTGACAATATTTAATTATTTTTAGTGCGATAGTGAAAATAAAACGTGATTCAGTCTGCGGAAAGAGAAACCGGCGTGGCTGTTAAGTGAGTATAGTATAATTCTTATTTTCTGACACATTTTATACAACAAAAATTATACTTTAATTTTATACATATGACATAACAGTGTTGTCAACACCAAAAACGATTATTTAGCTCTGTGGCGACTTTATAGTTTGACGGTTCTAGCACAGACTTTATAATTTATCTATTTTGATAGGATAATTAAAAAAATTGCCCATTAAAAAACTTTATTAGGTTTACCACTTGCGGCCTTTGCCTTTTTTCTTTTGCTGTTGTTTCCTTTGCCAAGCACTTTCACTCGACTTGACTTCAACGCGTGGACTTTTGGCAGCAGTTGCTACACTAGGTGTCTGTTTACTCATATCACTGAAATTGACAAGTCTCATTAATAGTAATTTGTTAAAATTAATATTAATTAATTATTTATATAAATATTTCAGCAGAAGGCTTAATCTGACCGATAAAATTAATGACCTACCCTCATCTTGAGGGTTTTGTTTGAAATAAAAAATAACTACCGCAGGTCTTAGACAAGTGTACTTACTACTGATCAACAGCGTTGGTAGTCATCCCTTGACTGCCCTTGATGACGTCACGTCGAATACCGCGTCGTTTGCGATAAGCTGTACGCTCGTACTTGGGCAACCATCTGAAGAGCATTTTAAAATTTTGGTAAATACTAAAAAGACAAATATTTTACGTGAACAAAGGTAGTTTCACTAAAGGCTGACTAAAAGTTTTTCAGTGCATAATAAAATAATAATAATAATATAATCTTACAGGTTCATATTAGTTAAAACAAGACTAATGTGGTATAATTTTTTTTTTTTAGAATTCAAAGTAAACTTGAACTATGATTTTTGAATTTTTTTTGCAGAAGACGTCGTTTTCAAATCAGCAAATATTTAATGTTCTCATTTAAAAATTGTATTTCGCTTTGTATTACTTTCCTAATCATAGGAAAACGTACAAGAAATATTACGTACGGTTTTGACATGAAAATACTACTTTGCCACTTGACAAGTGTCAACTGTCAAATGTCAACACGTTTCAAAATGTAACTTAGCGCACCAATATTTTTGACAGTTAATTATGTCTTAGTTTAATATTTACAGAAATTACTTGATTGGGATTTGCCAGACATAATATTTTTAAATTAACCTTTCTGGGTCAGGAGGTCTTGAAAGGTCAGCAGAAGGTGGAAGTTTAGTCTTACGCTTTCGTTTAGCTTTCTTCTTTTGGCCCAACTCCGAACCTGGCGTTCTGGAAAATAAAAATAAAATTTAAAAAATTCAACCGAACTACTTAATCAATTTTGAAGAAATTGTATTCCCTTAAACTTGGAATATAATCAAGAATCTCAATATTACTAAGTTTTCGAGAAATTTATGACGACTAACATAACATACAATAATGAGATTTTAAACCCTAAATACTCCTAAACTTACTTTTGAAATCGGTTAAAAAGAAGTACAGAAGATAATACGCAGATACCATTGGAATTAAAAACCGTTATATCAAACTTTATAACAGGATTAATCGTAAATATTAAAGTATAGTTATATTTATATCAATTTAAAAACATACCCAGGCGACTGTTCCTGTTTACTTTGCACTGTTTTCTTGACGATCTTAGCACCCATCATCCATTTGGAAGACTCCAGCGCATCTATATCAATCTTGCCCTGACAATGAATACTGAAGTTATGAAAGTACTCTATAGCTTTTTGTACATGTTTTGTAACTTTTATTAATATTGGCAAGTAGCCAAGTGACTGATCTCTAAGGCAAGGTTTCTGATGGGGGAGTATTACGGCACCCTCCCCCCCATGTAAAAAGTCACGGAAAAATGTTACGGCGCGTAAGGGGGGGGGGGGGGTTGTTGTTATACAGATCTATGGACTACACCCAAAATTGTAGGCCACCTAACTTCCCAATAATGTAAATAAAAAAAATGTGTGCGTGTACTAGGGTACACACGTAAGAAGTGAAACTTATATAAAACCTTTGTTGTACGCAGAGCCATAATTGGTTTGTTTTAAGTTTAGAGGTCCGAAACTATTTCTTTAAACTCAGTAAATTTTGATACACTGCCTAGCATACAATTTACAAATTAATTGCAGCAAATTGCGATTAGCAAATTTCAAGTCGAAAATGTAATCCGTTGTCAAACTTCAAAGTCAAAAACATACTATATTATATCATATTTTATCGCCGATAAAGAAGTTTGACTTCGAAAATGTAATCCGTTGTCAAACTTTAAAGTCAAAAACATACTATATATCATATTTTAACGCCGATAAAGAAGTTTGACTTCAAAAAGCAACATGGTGCGTAACGGAAAAATGTGACGCGTAACGCAAAAATGTTACACAAATTTTTTTCCAACCCCGATAAAGAAGTTTCACTTCAAAAAATTGTCATCACTTATTACTGTTTTATTTACGAGTGTCCTGCCGCTACTATAATGTTGCTACTACAAAATGTGTCAAAAAACGCAAGTATTAACTAACATACATGTTTTAATTAAATTACTGTAAAATATTTAATTCAAAATCATGTGTAAAAAATGCAATTAATTTCGACTTAAGTTTTAAAATAAATAGCTTTATTACTACATACAGTTTGCTCACTCAGGCTTTCTTACTTTTACAAGCGTGGCCGTTACCAAATTCGTAGGATTTACCCCCCAAGAGCATAGCTAATTGCAGGCCCTTCAGTATTATTAGCATTTAATTATTTAGATTTTTTTTTATACGAGAGTTAACTTTGTATTATTATTAAGTAGATAAGACACTACTAGCTTAATAAGATATTATTATCGCGGATTATTATTATCCGCGCGTTTCTGCGGATTTGGAGATATAATCCAGTTTTTTTAAAAGAGTTCAATGTTATATATATTATTACATATATTTAAAACACCCTGTTGACCCAGGAACCGTACAATTACATTAATATTACTTTAAAAAAAAATGGAATTGTATAAAATACGCATTTTTATTCTACTTACTTCTAACTTAGTAATGGGCGGTAGATTGGCAGCAAGTTTTCTCGCCCTTTCCGGTTCGTGTATAAGCGCCTTGACCAACCTAGCTAGAGTACGCTTATCACCCGGCGCCGCTCGCACGAGGGTCTCGTGCGCCTGCGCAGCCGCGGTTGCATTGCCGGCGCGTGAGTGGGCCTCAGCTGCCGCCCGCCACACGTTGCGGAGGGCTTTCACTTGCTAAAAGGATGGTTTAATTGATAAACTAGAGTTCGTCTCTTTCTGTCAAGTTGTGTTTATGATGAAGAGAGAGAGAGAGAACTTTAGTCAAAATGTCAGTTCTTTAATTTTCCAGATATCAAACTCTGGACTTTAACCAAAGATTATCTTTTCGACTTTATAATTTATATATAATCGAAGTCTTTTTTTAATTATAATATTTGACAACATAAATTCCTTTATTGACAAGGGATCGTAACGAATCTTTTCCGTTCCTTATTTTTTTTTAAATTCCTTACCTCGTCATCATTCTTATAGTGTTCATAGACTTCATTGAAGAGCTTAGAAGCCTTCTCATATTCATTGTCAGCTGTGAGCAAAGTACAGAGCACACCAATAACGGCAGGACGAAATTTGAAGGCACTTTCTTCCAATAACTTGACAGCTGCTTTGCGGTCACCCTAATAATTTAAAATATAATTTTATTTCTAAGAATAATTAATTTGTTACTGGTCATGGCATAAGTAATATAAACTTGTATGATTCATAATATATTCAAATAAACTTTATTTAATAAAAAAAAATATTTAGAAAATAAAAAGCAAAATGTTTTATTTTATTCGAACATACTATACTTGTTTTTCAGAAGTCATCTTTAGAAAATAGTTTTACTTGTTTCTGATATTATATATGTATATATAACAGTGCCGGATTAGCCACGTAGCAAGAGTAGCAAATGCTACGGGCCCCGCGAATTTAGGGGCCCCACGCTCAAAAGTATTAATTTAGATAGGAGCGTAAAATATCTTGCATACCTTTAACGCAAAGCGCTTAGTGTATGCTTCACTTCCACATAAAAATAAACTCGGCTTCGTCAAGTTTAATCGTAAAAATAAGTAGGTATTTAACTTTTTAACGTTAATTTTCAAATTTTAATTATAATCGATATATTTAGCCTAGCATGTTATTTGTCCCTCCCTTCAGATTTTTATTTTTATTTAGGTATACATTTATTTTGCGAGTTTACGTAGCCGAGACTGTGCTTTAGTAGAATTTGTTACAGGCACCGCGCTGGCTTAATCCGGCACAGATATATAATAAGTAAAATAATATATTTTATATATAATGTAGCCAGTGGTAATTAAAAGCTAAATAGGCTTTAATAATTTTTATTGTATATATATTAAATTGGGATTAAAATAATTACCTGAGCTAACAAAACTTGAGCAGCTGCCAAAGTGAGGGTATCTCCATATTTCAGCAACAAATTCAACGCTTGTTGACTCTTTCCGTCCTTGACCAATGACGAGGCTTCAATGAGTATAGCTCTTTTCTCTTCATTAAACTCACGGGTTAGTTTAACACAACATTGCTTGCAGAAGTCCGGCTGTAATATGAGAAATCCAGTTATTACAGTCAAAATATATTTATCACATTATGTACTAATAACCTATTCATAAAACTTTAGTAATGAAGTAATTAAAAATGCATAAAGTATAACAAATATACCTAGTAAAATATTGTCTATTACTATCTCCATAGCTTTGTTTTAAGCATATGATAAGTTATACATAAAACCTGGAAGATCTGTGTTTGATTTCCCCGGAAAAGTTTGGCATTGATTAATAAATTTCTTCACAATAACTATAAAAAGCAGTTGGCTTAAAGCACATATATCAAATTCTTTTGGAATATATCATTATTAATTTAACAATTGGACTTAATTTAATACATTCGCAACAGCAAAAAACATATATGTACAAACACTCACATATATGTATGCATATGAGCAAATGCGTAGCCGGTTTTTAGAACATTAGGAATACTGGTGCATAATATTTTCTGTCATAAAGTTAAACAAATATAAATTCAGATTTGAAAAAAATAATTACATATATAATTATAACTGAGACATTTTGCTAGTTTTCAAGTAAATTAAGGTTTTAAGATTTCAAATAGTTAATTACCTGGTTAGAATAAATAGCCAAAATCGCTTGGTTATAGATGATCTTAGCTCGTTGTCTAGAGTTAAGCTTGTGCTCCAAGCCTTCTTGAGTTGCCGCCTTCATTCGCTTACGAGAATCAAATACATTGGAGTCACTGTAACATGTTTTTTTTTAAATGTTTTCAAAAATTTAATCCGGAGGTTATGTATTTAAACAGAGCTATGTTGGCCTAGTGGCTTTAGCGTGCGACTCTCATACCTAAGGTCGTAGGTTCGATTCCGGCTGTACACCAATGGACTTTCTTTCGCACATAGAAATGTGCGCATTTAACATTTGCTCGAAAGGTGAAGGAAACCATCGTGAGGAAACCGACATGTCTTAGACCCAAAAAGTCAAAAAGTGTGTCAGGCACTGGAGGCTGAGCATCTAATTGCCGATAAGATTTAAAAATGATCATGAAACAGATTCAGAAATCTGAGGCCAAGACCTAAAGAGGTTGTAGCGTCACTGATTTTTTTTTATGTATTTAAACACATTCATGGATTTTGTTCTGTATCTGCTAATAACAACTGTATGGTGTAGGTAATTACTATGAAAACCACAACATCAATCAATGACCCCAAAATAAACATAACAAAACTGTGTATGACCCATAAAACAATGATAAACCAACTTCAATAAACAAAAATCTCTTAAATGTTATTTCAGTCAAGTAAAAATTTGGTAATTGATAAGAACTTACCGATTGATAACAACCAAGTTGTTACTAGCTATGGCAACAAGTGCCTGATCACTTGGTTTCTCCTTAAGAACATTGTGGTAGATGGTGGCAGCTTCCTTCTCTTTACCGCTTTGTTGAAGGCAGTATGCTTGTTGGACTCTGAAATAATTTTGAAATAATTTTTTATTTACTTGAATTTTAATTTATGTAATTTGAAATTTATAAGTAAATTTTTATTCATTTTATTAAAATTTTGCAAAAATAAATTCCACAAATCTGAAAGATTTCTTTTACGAACTTAAACTTATCTCATTATACAAACCTAATAATGGCAGCTTCTTCTTTAGCCTCTTCTTCAGTACCACCATCTTCAAGAACACTTTCCGAGCAGGCTTGCTCTGCCTTTTTCAGCACGGGTAATGATTCACTGTACTTACCACGCATTGCCAGTGTTGTGCCCACATTATAAGAGAGCTCATATGTTGTTTCCTCAAATTGTGGAAGATCAGCATTCTGCAAACAGAGTGAAATAACAAATTGAAAACTATAAGTACTTATATCGAAATAGAAAACGGTTAAAAATCTAAATTTTCATTCATTTCAATTTATGTTTATTCAGTTTAGATGCCTCTTAGGGCATGCTTATGAATGTCAAAAACATTTACAAAATTCATTGTCTTTGTCTGTACAGATGCACAGGTTTGCATATTGTTTCTAAGTAATGGTCTTAAATTATTTATAATATACAATAATTTAAAAATTACAATTTAAATTTTCATTATACTTACGGGATTAATTGCACCCAAATTTGCAACAACAGCAGACATATTAGCCTTTCTTTCATCTTCATAATCATCAGTGGTGTTCTTCACTATATCTCTATAAAGATTGTAACAGTCTTGGTACTGTTCAAGGCGATACAATATTTGAGCCCTATAAAAAATGAATATTAGTTTGTCTTGTTTATAAAAAATATTTTTTTAAATTGTTTATAGATAAAATTAAAAATTAGCATTAGTCTACTAGCTAGGTTCATGACTCTTAATCATGTATTTTTTAATCCTAGCTGAGCAGGAATGCATTATAAACTCTATGTGTGCAATTAAAACTGCTTAAAGGTTGACAAAACATTGTCAGAAAATCAAGGGGAGCCATAAATCAACACAATAATTTTTACCTAAGTTCCTTAAGAGCTGGTGTTAGCTCTGGAGCACTATCAACTGTTTGTAATGCATCTTTTGGGAGATTAAGTCTGTATTGAGCATATGCCTTCTCAAATTGTAAGTCAGCCGCCAGTGCTGCATGTTTTGAGTTGTTTAGGTGCACTAAGGCTTCCTTAAAGTTATGAAGTTGTATATAACAAACGATTTTACAGTGAAATGCTTTCTGCTCCGTTGGTGCAATTTGCAGAACTGAAATTAAAAATAAGAGTTAAAGAATTTCGAACAGAAAAGACATGGATTTATAAAACTCCTCTTCTGTGGTAGAAGTTATATATGATTTAATGGTTGCTTTCTTAGTTTAAAGTTTAAAATTATTAAGAAATATAATAAAATTGAGCAAAGAATGTATCCTAATCTGAAATCGGGCTAACACATAAGTTGGGTGTAATTATTTCGTCTGAGTTAATGAGTGATAGAACTTACTTTTCCCTGCAGCTTTTAATGCTCTTTCATAGTCACTACTTTGACAAAATTTATTTAATTCAATATAAGCCTGAACAAGGTTACTTTCCTTGTTGGCAGACATTTTTTGACAAGCTGGCAGCTGTATTTGACAACTATGTGTTTCTAAAAAGTAAAACGTCACCCTTTAAACTAAACGTTCCAAAATACCCAAGTTTCAATTCTTGATAATATATTAATGGTGTCTATTATATACTTAAAAGTATTTTTCAACATTCTAGGAAAGATAGAAAAATACTTGTCTAACAAAAAATATTTAATTACTATTTTTTACATGATTTTATATTATAGCAATGACCCCGCGATTTAGTTAAAAATTAAAAAAATAGATGACGCCAAATTGAAAATAAATCTGATTTTGTGCTCTTTATTATGCCAGGTTTAAAGAAAACACTTTTTTACCGGATTGAAGCTATGTATTATTATAAATTTACAATTATTTTCAATAAAAGACAATACTATGCCAGGTTTCTTAACGATACGTATACAGACATTACAATAAGCCAAAGCCATAAAACAAAATAATAATCCATAGTGTATGAAGAAAGTCTAAAACTAAATTTGTCGACACGAACTGACATTTTCATACAAATTATGTTTTCGACTTTCTACACTACTGTTAAGGCATCTTGTCTAGATCCCCAGTGGTAGTAAAACCCTCTATAGGTCTTGGCCTCAAAATGTAATCAATTTGGTTCATTTTTATTCTATGGACAAGTAGATGAGCAGTCTTTAATGGTCTAACAATGTTTGCCTTCGCCGTAGAAGCAAGTGCTAATTACGCACATAGACAAAAATCCATTAGTGGACAGCCGTAATTTAAACACAAACTCCAGGGATGAGGGTTGCACGCTTAAGCCACTCGTACCATAACGAATTATAGCAATATAGAACCACCCAACAACCATTATCGCACAGGTCAGTTAGAAAGAGAATAATAAAATGATAAATTTAGACTTATCGTAAAAAACCGACGGTTGACGGGGCCAGTAACGGTAAGATTCAGAATGAACCCTAATAAGATTTAGCGCTTTGCATTTCATTTCTAGTTATCAAGTTTGCCCTTCATAAAACAGTAGGACCTAGTCTCAAATAGTATTTGACTTTTTAGCTTTTGTCTTATCCTTATTTAAACGACCCGTCATCTGAAGAGATTAGATATTTTATTTATTATTTAGCAAGAAGGTAAATTTTGATCAAACCCCAACAAAGCGGACGATTTTTAATTTTCTGGCTCAATTCGTCGGAGTGCTGCCAATAGCACGTCTCGCCCGCGGACATGTCAACATGGCGTCGCATCCGGTGGACCGGATGTGGAAAGCGCGGGAACACCGTTATCTGTCACTAAGAGATAAATCCATTGTTGATCTCTGAGGTTGAACGCTGAAAAATAATTTGTATTGAAACCTAACAATATTATCAAATGTATATTTATCAGATGGATTTTTAAAGATTTCACAAGTAGGGTAAGGTATCTATTTTATAGTAGGTATAAACATAATATTATAATATGGAAAAAAATAAAGCCAAAGCCATGTTCTAGAATTGAATTAATCGAATATTTTAAAGTAGACTGTAACACTTCTTCATTGCATTTTAAAGTTATTTACGACCAAAATATTTATTGATATGAAAGAACATGAACAAAGACAATATGTATTGGAAATAATATTGCAAGCGCTGTGTTGTCGGCGCTCAACGGCTCATGTGTCGAACTCATCAAACTTGGACCGCTAGTTTCAGATCGCCTGTACCCTGTACACAGAACATTCTACGAGTTAGAAGTTACATAATGTTTTGTAGCTTTAGTATAAGGTATAAAAGATTATGATTCTGTGTACAGTATACAATATTTATAATTTTTTAAACCTGTATAGTAATAATAAATAGAAAGTTAACACGAATTTAAAAGTTTATAAGTATAGTAATTTTAAAATTTATACTTAGACGCAACTCCGGCATCCAAAATTACTTCCAATCAAGGTCCCTCGAGATACCTACATAATCAGTATCATCAAATTCAGGCGACGTATTTCTAAATCCAACCCACAAAAGCTCCCAAATAGGATCACACACATTTTTATCATTTGGCCCTGCTCTTTTAGTTTGCTGGTCAGTAGCGGATCGATGAGAACACAACCAGGTTTTTACGTAGAAAAAAGTACCTACTGGAACACGTTCCGGTTCTGAAAAAAGGTAAGAGAACGTCGTTCCACCGCGTTCCCCTGCCAATACACCACTGACTGTAACAATATACCTATAAATGAAGATCTATACTGTCCATAATAAAAATGTGTAAACAAAATGCTTAATAAATGCTTTTTACCTTGTACGGTCGTGTAACGCACTTAAGAATATTATGTAATACTAGCTGACCCGGCAAACGTTGTTTTGCCAATACAATATCTCATATAATATAATATAGGCCTGTATTCACTTTGATTCAGATTAGTGCAGGTGATTATTACAGTTGATTAGTGATTAGGAGATAAAGGCCTGTATTCGAGAGGTTTAGTACTATATTAAAGGACTCTTCGGTCAAGCTGAGAGCAAAGTAATATTCCGTCGTATCTTCAGCATATTCCTTAAAGAATTGGTAGCTTGCGCCATGAATGAGTCTTCTATTAATCCATTTTCGAACCAATACTTTTCTTGGTCTTGGTTCAGCTTGCTAAACTTCTTCGGTTTCAGATAGCACCGAGTTTAATACTTCTATAAGTTCTTCTTCCAATTGCAAGTCAGCTTTTTTAGCAGTTCCAATGTATTAAACAATTCATTTGTATCATAATATTTTAATAAATACGAATATAAAACAGCAATCTACATTTGTTTTACTTACCTGATCTTTTGTAGTAGTTATAGAATTGCACTCATATACGTCCAATATAAAGGCCGCAAGAGCATCATAAAATAGCCAGATTTACGGGATGCAAGGACTTTTTTATGGTTTAGTCGAAAAGCCGCCAGGAATTCCTTTTTCTTTTTTATTTCTGCCAATACCATTAGCAACACGAAGCCACGCATCATTTGTCTGTAATAAAGACGTAAATTAAACACAAACAAATCAGCCGTTTAGGCTCTAGGAAAAGTACTAACAATATAATATTTACCTACCTTTGTTTTATCTTTGTGATGCTTAATTTTTGAATTCCAAATGCACGCCTCTCTTTTTGATAAGGTTCTATGAACCCAAAAGTCTCTTCGTTCGTCCACGCAACCATTATTTATTGTCACTGTAGAATGATAATATATAAAATTCTCGTGTCACAATGTTCGTTCCCCTACTCTTCCGAAACGGCATCAACCGATTCTTATGAAATTTTTTATGCATATAAGTCTGAGAATCGTCTATTAAGGGTGGTACAACCCCTAAATTTTTATTTTTTAGACAAATTTATTTGTTTTTATTTTTTTATGATAGGTTAGGTAGACAATTAAGGGTTGTATGCTGACGACCCTTAATTATCACCCCTCTACGATCAACCCCTATTTTTTTATTATAGTAGATAGTTATTTATATTTAACTATAAAAATGTTTCCTAGAATAATATACATGGCAAAACAACGTTTGCCGGGTCAGCTAGTTAGTCTAATATTTCACATGTTCTGTCACAAAAGAGAAACCCAATCAACAATGAAAACATAAAATAATAAAGTCGAAATAATTCACGTCTCAATGTATCTCTGATAATTGATGACCTCGGGACTCAAACATTTAAAATTTCAATTTGAAAATGCAAACATACGACAAAATTATTGTAGGTAAGCCCGTATACTTTATCAGTCTACGCCTGATAAATTGTGCGAAATTCAATTTAAAAGGGGTAATGTTTGTGTCCCTATTATGCCATCAACCAAACCTATAAACTCTGACGGTCGAATGAACAATTGAAATGTCGAGGTTTGGCTGAATTTTTTATGGAAATATCCCATATTAGTGGCTTTGAGAAAGGCGAATAAATCTTGGGTTTTTTTGTCTACCCGCAACAAACATTTTAGACTAAATTATTTTATCGGTTGTCAAAGAGAAAATGGCCTTCACGGCATGATTGTTACTATTCTCCTTAAACATTTATATTTGAATTGACTATCCATAAATAAGATATTTTGATGTACATTTTATATACTTATTAAAATAATAAATAAATGAAGCTTTTTTAAACAATAATACAAGCAAATCTACTTCATTGCTTCTCTCCAATATGTCTCTCATGACAACTATTAATTGTTAATAAATATAATGAAATAAAGATAAATGTATTAGCTGTTAAACTTTAATAAAAAATAATATTAACGAAAATGTTAAAAGCGCGTCTGTTACCCAGAAAAAGGTTGAACCATTAATAACCGAGGGACACTTTTTTCACAGACAAATTGCCTGAAAATAATTTTAGACCCAAGATCAGTTATTTACGTATAATATGCCTTATATTATCTGAAAAATACTGGATAAAATGTATCAAATTTCACAATTTTCGTAACAGCTTAAATATTGTATAAATTCCATATACTCGTATAATTATTCCCCGATTAGTATTAAATAAAAAAGTGCGTGCGTACATAGTAGGTACACATGCCAGAAGTGAAACTTCTTTGGCAAACTAATTTTTAAGTCTTGTTCATATTTATACAAATCTAAAACTTTAGATTTCCGAGTCTTAGAGGGAGAGAAAAAGAAAGATATGATAGGAATTTAATGAATTTAATTGTCATTAAAATATTAAAAGTGTCGAAAATTAATACAAATTACAAATTTAATTTTTAATTTATTTCTTAGATAATAAAAACACGTGGCATTTTAATTTACAATTCGCCATTTGAGATTTCAATAAATTATTTTGCATAAAATATCAAATACTAATATTTCATAAATTCCGTTTCTTCGACAAACGCTGCATTTTGTGACGTTCCGTAAAAATTTTACCATCATGCACCTAAAGAAGTTTCACATCAAAAAATTATAATTAAAACATAAAACAATGCAGTGTCACTTACCATCAGATGAGCTCCCTGTCCGTTTGCCTTCTGTTCTATAAAAAAATGTTAATATTCAGGTCGTGCTTT